AAGCGAGTTAATATCTGAACCCAGTGGTATACTCCCTGATAAGCCAGCAGTCAGACAGATCAGTGTTCGCTGCTGCTGCTGCTGCTGCGTGTCTGTGTATGTTACTGCAGTTGTGAATTCCAAGTACTTGCACTGTTTATTCTTGAGTGTTTATGTTTGCTGCTGTGCAAGTGTTAGTTTGTGCTCTACTGCTGTTTACTACTGCTTGTTGATTTTCTAGTGTGAATGTGTATATGCAAACGCAGGGGAATATCTCGGGTCATATAATGGACTGAAGGTCTGGTAAGCCATTAATTGAGCCAAAGACCATGAGTTTAAAATTTCTCGCAGATAGAGCACTGTGCAAAAAGTGAAAAGAGCTACTCTGCATTTCTTTATGTTTTGCCAAGAGATGGGCAGTTGGACCAACGGTTTATTTAAACTTGTGCAAACAAACATGGTAATACAGTTGTACAGTTCTAACGAGCTTGAACGTCAATATTTGGCACGAGCACCTTTATTCTTCAACACAGCCTGAACTCTCTGAGGCAAACTTCTTGTAATTTCTATAAGTAGTCTTCGGGAATAATTCTCCAGGATTCTTGAAGGACATTCAAAGCTCTTCTTTGGATGTTGGCTGCCTTTTGATCCGTTCTCTGCCAAGATGATCCCACAATGCTTCGATAATGTTGAGGTATGAACTCCGGGGAGGCCAATCCATGACTAATAATGTTCCACTGTGTTTGTGTTTGTGTTTTTACTGAATCCGTATATGCTTTCATTGCATTGCCATTTTGTTTGGGATTATAGTCAATTCAGATGCTTTCTACATAGTATTGAATGGTGGATCGAAATCGGACTGTTTTTCTTTTTCCTTTCTAATTTGTTATTTCAATTTTCAAAATTGAACCAGTAGCTGTTCCTCCATGTTTTACAGATGGTTGTAGACACTCACTGACAATTACTGTTTGGCTATTTGAACAAACGTTTCATATTTGAATTCATTACACCATCAGGACTGTTGGAAGTGATTTTTAGTCCAGTTCTTGTATAATATGGCATACTTTGACCTTTTCTCCCAGGTTCGCTTCCTTAAGAATGGCTTCTCGACAGCCGCTCTTTCATTCTGATGTGGCTTTGGACATGACTTTCAGATACTGTTCAGCTGCTGTTGATGCTGTTTTTGTATGTTTTTTCTCATGCCTGCTGCTTCTTTTGTCCTCTGCTTTTCCAGTTTCCGCAAATATTTTTAAGGACACACTGCAGACCTTGCTAAGCTATGACACGTTTTAACCTCATGGTGCAAATGCTTAAGGAAACCACTTAAAGTTGGTTCTTTAAGTACTTTGGCTTAACAAACAATAAGAAATAAACAAAAAAAATTCTATAAAAATGATCAGGGGCAAGTGCTGTACTGTAGTAAAAATCACAAAAACTTTAAAAGACCTTCAGACAGTCAGGAGAATTATTAATCAAGACCATTAAAAACAAACAAACAAAGTCTGGATCTTGAGAAGCAAGATATTTATTTATTTATTTATTTTTAAAAGAGGGGCAACTCAAGACTTTAACACAGTACTTAAAAAATAGCATGTTTCACAAGATATTGGTGATATATTTATAGGACACGTTTGTGCAACACAAACCGCCTTAGACCTTAGACCGAAGCTGTTTGTGCTGCACCTGCTTGCTCAAGTATGTAGGGCACACGGAGACGTTGTCATCAGCTCTAAACGTCGTTCTGAGAACAGTACATGCAGTGTGTGTGCATGCACATGGCTGGCAAGTCAACAATCATGTTCAAGGTTCATCTTGTTTGGTTAGTATAAATAAATGTGATTCACTCAAGAAATGCTTCTCCCGTTTCGTTTCATGTTGATTGATCATTTGGACAAACAGGGTGAAGCTCTCAAAGCATATGCTCACTGCATGTAATCAATCAGTGCTGGTTGATAAGACTGCTGAAGTGATGATCACAACTGAAATAATTCAATAATGTGGCAAAAGTAACTAAAGTTTAAAGTGTTCATTTTAAATTTAAAAGTGTAATAAAACTGACTTATTGATCTATCTAACACAAACTCAAGTCCAATATTTATAGAGCATGTTTTAAAAGGGCCACAGCTGATTGAGGTGCTGTTCACGTTATGGGACAGACAAGAACAAGATTATTTCACAGCACGGAAATGTGAATCAAAATCAAAATGTAAATAAAACAAGTGAGATAAACCTGATACCTTAAAACAGAAGACAAATCTAGAATGAATATATCAAGAAAATAAACACAAGAAGGAAAATGTGCACTTTAAACATTGTCATTTCCCAGCTCTCAGTGGCATGCTGTTTGTTAAAACAGAGGTTTAACCATAAAAAGGATGTTCAGACCATGCACTTGATCCACAGCTGTATTTAGAATGCAAACACACACACTCACACATATTTATATTCCGCATGCATTATAGATGAGGAAGCTCATGCATAAAATGCACAGGGACATCATGGTCATTTAGTCCGTGTTCGTGCTCTTTCGATCTCTTGATGCATGTTCAGTTTTACCCGTCAGTGTTGCTCAAACGAACGATTACGATGTGCAATTTGTAAGCGCCCTATTTTCCTCAGTCCAATCTAATCCACAGCCTTCTTCCATTGAGTAAGTGCTCCGTGCGGTTGTTTATTTTTTTGTCACTGTTGACATAGTACAGTATGTGTGCAGCTTGGCCTGAAGAATTCAAAGATAGCGTGCCCGAAGCAAGCTAATTAAATGTTACCATTTACTTTGACAGAAAACATAGATTGTCACCTCTTTACGGTTTGGATGTTTCTTTTTATTTTAATGCACATTTGCATTTCATTATTTCTGCAGAATCTCTTAAGACCTTTTTTGTTTTCCCTTCACTCCCTTGGCTGACAGCTTCGTCCATCTGTGTGTTGTCTTGTTTAAAGGGATGAATAAATGAATGATTGAGAACACTGCATGGTCATGAAATTCATATAGCTAATTTGAGGAGGTGTCTCAATTTCCACTTCACAAGGCTTGCTTGCAATAACACTTCTGGGGTAGAATTGTGGAGATTGATCATCTATATGAGAAAAACTATCACTGTCATTTTAATTATTTAACACAAATTAACTGTTTTAAAGTCACCTAATGGAACTGATGTTTACAGTTAGTTCATTCTGATAGAGCTTATACAAGTATCTGTATTTTAGCGCATCTGTACAAGGCAACAAGAAGAGCATCGACTTTATGTTATTCGATTCAGCCTTTTCCGTTTCTGATCTTTTTATGCAAGTTAAAATGGTTTTGTTTCACAGCATTTGTGTGAAATGGTATGTTAAAAATGGGATAATATTTATTCTACGTAATCTATCTATGTAAGCAGACTCTTCAAGCCACATTTCTCTTTTTCACCTGTCAAATTATTTCTATTGTGATTCATTAAATGCACAAGTGTCGTTGAAAAATGTGCTCAGACCTGTAACTTGCAGTTCTGTCTCTCCGTAGGACATTTAAAGGATTTAGTGGTTTCTGCTGTCTCTCTAACTGTGATAAATGGCTACAACTTGCTCTGCAATGTAAACTATAGAATTTCCAGCTATTTTTTTACTGATTCCTTCCTTCCTATCTGTCTTCTTTCATTTGCTTTGTTAATTTTTCCCTCTGTTTCCTCTATCGTACTGTTTTATTTCTTATGCAAAGTATTTTTTTTCCTCCTCAGCTGATATTTTCCTGCTTCCCTACTTTTTATTTTATCGGTTAAATTATTTATCCTTTCTTCCTGCTTCCCTTCCTTCCTCCTTGTCTCCTATGCTTAGTGTGTCCGTCTTCTTATCACACACACACACGCACACGCACACACGCACACACACACACACACACACACACACCGTGAGTTCATTACACAAGCTGTGAGACCGGATCCACAAATCAAACTGTGTAAATAAGCAAGTTTTGTTCCTGTGGAGCAGCCGCTGCTGTTGCCATGCCTACCTGTTGCACATCTCAAGGGTTACCAAGGACGACCTTTAAGTGTGCGTCTGCTTCTGTATGCATCCGCGGTGTTGTATCAGTGTGACTGTGGGAGGGGGTTGGAAGGTTTCTGTGTATGACAGTTGACAATGACCAGAGAGTCTGTCTAACTCCTGCTGTTCATTTTATTTCAAGTACGTCTCCTTGGATTTCACGAGGTTTTACTGTCGGCAATCTAATTCCCATTAATTCAACACATGAAGCTGATTCTGTGGCAGACATTTCACTCCAACATCTTCCTCCCAACATCCTTAACTATAGAGATATTGGTGACATCTCCTTGCTTTTGTCTGAATGTTATAGATATTTGTCTCCACTTGTAGGAGTATGGAGGCTTGGGAAGGTTAGGTTTTCCCAATGACTAAAATAACTGTTTTATAGCTGAACACAGGTGAAACTTCTCAAAGAGTGTTTCCTGACTGAGCTCTTGCAGTGAGAAAGTTCTGTTTATGTGGCATCCATCCCAACAATGTACAGAATGTCTACCTGGCAGCTCCTGCGCCATTGTAGGAACTGTCCATTAGTCCTTTGTTAGCAGAGATGAGGACAGGTTTTGTGTGTGTGTGTGCGTATATGTGTAAACAGACAGACTAATGGGCCTAACTGAAATCCAAACATAGGATCTGGCAGGTGATCAGTGGTGTTTACTTCCCGTGGGTGAAGTGGAGCTTCTCTCAGTGGATGGAGGAATAGAGAGTGTATAGTTTACTGGCAGTGATGGATCATAAGACTTGGGGCATGCACAAGAAAGCCAGAAAAACAAGGCTTTTAAACTTTTATAGTGAAAGTTAAGTATCTGTTAAGATAATGTTTCACTGTTAATCCCTCCTCTCTCCCTCAATCCTGTGATACCTGCTTTTAACTGGTGCGTGCATGCATGGTCTCTGCTTTGCTCTCATTTCTGACGGCTTCCTTTTACTTAGAATTGTTGAGCATAGATGCTGATGTATAACCTGACTAAATCTTTTCTTGTCTTTATCTGTGCACGCAGAGCGTCAGCTGGCCAGCAGCATGACCAGCAGCAGCACTCTTCCTCCCAGTGTAAGCGGGATCAGTAAGGAGCTGGCAGAGCTGCGCCACCTTGTTCAGTTCCCCGAGGAGATCGCCTGCATCCTCACAGAGCAAGAGCAGCAGCTTTACCAGCAGGTATAAGAGAATTTATATAAAATATACATGAGGGGGAAAGCAGAGGCAGGAACGTGCAATTACAGCTGTCAATATGATCCTTACACTTTATTTGAAATTGTACAGCTGTGTTTTATTGTGGGGAGGTTTAGCAAAGAAGTTGGATGAGGAGAATAGTAGGTGGTGGTAAGTAGTGTCTGTAATGACACAACAATCCCAGCCATTGATTGAGAGAGTGCTGTCTGTCTGCAGGTCTTCCCTTTGGACTACCTCTATTTCCTCACCCGAGACCTGGGCAGTCCAGAGTGTCAAACTAAACGCCACCCAAACCTCAAGGCTTCACTGTCAGCGCCCGCCACGCCCACTCAGCGAAGTAACGCCGTGGAGGAACTGGTGGCGCGATTCAACGAGGTGGGTGGGGCTTTCTGTCTACTTTGTCTGCACTCCACGAATCTTTTAGCACACATGTGAATGTAGTTACACAAGGATGTTACACAGCCTGTCTAGTTCTCCGCAGCTCAGGGTTTACAGCAGGATTTCAGACTGGGTAGAAGCACTGACACTGCACAAACGTAGCTTAACAATTAAAAGCCTTGAGCGACTTTTTATATACACAGACATGTGTAGTGCATTCAGGAGACTCTCACATCTTACGCAGATACATTTAATGAAGTTGTGCCAAAGGAACCATATGGAGATAGTTTTCATCTTAAGAGAGCACTTTTCAGTTAATAAGTTAGTTGTCCTTTGATGATTAAGTGGCATTGAAATGCAGTTCTTGCAGTAACATAAAAATTTAAATGGCAATTTTTCTCTTATTTGCTGTGCGAGTTATACGGACCTATCATGAGCGCAACTCACTCACGACCATGTTCACCGGCTTAAGTAACTTAACACCCCCCGAGCCTCGCCTTGTTCACGGCGAATGACTTTGAAAATGCACAAATCCACTGCTGCGAAAGAGAAAGTGCTAGAGAGATTGATTGGAGATGATTATGTCATGTTTAGGTCGCATGCCTCTTCGCATCAGCTGGTTTTCATTTAAGTCAGCCAGAGGAGAAGCACGAAAGACAGTTTTCCAAATGTGCAGTGTTGCCATATATGGTCACAGTGGAACGAGAGTCATATTGACAGCACTGAATCTCTCCTTCAGCTGCCTTTAATTGTGTCAGGTTGGGTTTTACCTTTCATTTTTGAACTGTGGAATATATTTCAAGGTTAAATTATTACTAGTTAATTCACCTGACTATTATTTTTATTTTCCCTGATAAATAGTTCACAAACGTTTCATGTCACTGACTGGATCCACTGTTTTTGAGATGGTAACTAATTAAGAAGTTTATTTCCCCACTTGTAAGACAAGACTTTTTTGATAGAGTTCATTTTTAAGGCATGTGTGGGAGTGAAACATTAATCAGTGAAACAGGATTGAGAAAAACATTGGGAAGCAGGGAGTTGTGAGCAGTTTGGGCCTCCAAAGTGTTTAGCTTTGACGGGACCAGTGTGTGCTCGAGTTTGTAATGGTTCTCTGTTATATTCCATTGTGTAATTCGTGGATCAAGGAGAAACTGACCCTCACAGATGAACTAATACCACAAGCACAAATGGCGACAGACAGACAACAGGACAGACAGATGGACAGGTGGACACACAGACAAAGATCAAAGAGGGGGGGGGATCATATAGCCAGATCCAAATTTGGATGTGAGTGTGTGTCTGCAATTCTATCAGAATGCTTTTCAAAACTGCCTTTTCATGCTTCTATGGGAAGTTGCTGTATTCTTCTCATATTTACCCTTTGCTGCTTTCCTGTTCCATTATATGCTCTGTGTACATTTGTACATATATATCCTCACATCCTGTCCTGCTTGTCGTCATGCACAACACTGCATACGCACTTTTGCTATCTGGAATACCTGAAAAGATGCCAACTCAGTGCGATCCCTTGATGTGTGGAAGTGCAAAAAACCACTTTGCAGATGGACAGAATGATTTAGATGGTGAGTGTAACTAAAACCCCGATGCTGACATGGCTTCGCATTATGTCATAATGCTGAAAGTGCATGATACAAGATTTTCATGCGTGGCACGCAAAGAGCAGGGGAGTAGCAGATAAGAGACCGGAGGGCTGCAGTGTTGTTTTTCGGTAACCAAATACAGTAGATTGCAGAACGAGCTTCTGCTCCACTGAAAAGTTAACATGTAAACCTCGAAAGCCCCAGGAGGGAATTTCTGTAACTGATTCCCTGTATCTGATCAGGCTGACAGTGATTACAAATGTCAGAGGAATTTCTGACTCTCTAATAAAATCAGCCTATTAAAAGCGCTGTTTATTTAATTGCAGTAAGTCTTCCGGAGATGAACCTTGATAGGCTCGTGCAGTTTGGTTTGGGGAACATAAAGTGTCCAATGGGCCAATGACCTTATGGCTGGGGGCTTTAATTTTAGTGTCAAAGACAAGAAAATCTAATAATGCATGTGTCTGATTTCTGCGCTTGTTTGTGCTATAGTTCATGGACAGGTATGGGGAGTGTATGAGAAACATTTTTGGAACATTTTAACAGTTTTTCATCAGGCAGTATGGAAATGGAAACAATAGGAAGAATAGTTCCTGTGTGTGTGTGTGACTTTATTTAGTCCCTGTCAGGTCAGATGTTGGTGGGCTTTACTGATCCTTACGTAACCCAGTAATAGATCTCTGGGTCAGGGGGATGTTTTTACCACCTCCAAGTGGATTAAAGAGTTTCAGTGTGAGTGCGTTTTTGTTTTTATTGTGTGCCAATGCATTCACGGGGCGCTAATACAAAGAGAAAAAGACACCAGATAGTTAAAACAGGCCAGATTGAAATCTGATCTTTTCCTGTGTTGTGTACCTGTGCTCATACAGAGAGGTCGAGCCTGATGCATATCTGCTGTTGCCGTCATGTCTTTTGCTTGTGCTTGAGGTCAGTCAGTGTAGAGACGCAGCGCAGCTGATAGATATCCGATCTCATTCTTTTTTATGTGTGTGCATGTGTGGAGAGGTGTCGGGGTGAAAGTGTGAGGCTAGCTGGTGCAGTCCTGTGCATACATTGCCACATTAGGCACAAGTTTCCAGAGCAGAATTCATGAGCGCAGACATGACCGTACACTTTCAAGAATTTTAGGTGCCTTTGGATGTCGTCCCGTGTCCCCCATGTTTTATCATACCTAATACCAGCCTTGTAACAGCACACCAGCACACTTAAAAAGTTATCCAGGGATTTAGTATGATGTCACCTGTTATATGGATATTCCACTAAGAAATATTGTGCTAGTACAGTAACAGCATTTCTAATATATACTTCCGGCCGCTCCCCTGCTACAAGGGGTCACCAAAACAGGTCCTTTAATATATTTGAATTGGTGGAGTTTTATGCCACATGCCCTCCTTTACCCAACGCCAGTGGGAATATGTGTCTCCAGCTGTAATCACACCAACTATGGAGGCATTACAAGCCTTTCCAATAATAATTCCAAAACATTAGGGGCGTATAAGTTACAGACAAATTGTATATAGTAGAAAATAGAGTAGAAAATAACCTGTTTATTTTCCACTTCCTATGAGGTCTATACATATTTTTAAAAATGCAAATGTTTCAAACTTGTTCTGCTTGTAATGCATTCAAAAGGCAATAAAGTGCAAGTTAAACCAACAATAATAATTAAAAAAAAACAGCCTCATATTGGGTATTTTCAATGTTGGAACTTAATGTTTCTTTAAAGCCAAAATGTTATTCACTCCAAGGGAAAAGGTGATGAATAACCAGACAAAGATGGTGCTGTGAGTTACTAGGGAGGTTTTCTGCAGTTTATGTGTCAGCTTACTTTGTAAGTAAGATAAGAGCGCAATAAAGTGCAGCTGTTGTTGGTGCTTGATTACGATTGTAACAGTTGGCAATACTGAAATGCGAAATTCTGAACACGCAGGTGAGTTCGTGGGTGACGTGGCTGGTCCTGACTGCAGGGTCCATGGAGGAGAAAAGAGAAGTTTTCTCATATCTGGTCCATGTCGCTAAATGCTGTTGGAACATGGGAAACTACAATGGTGTCATGGAGTTCCTGGCTGGACTCAGGTTTTAAGAAACACAATGACGCAACTCAAATACACCCACCTACTGAATATACAGGCAATTTATTATCTGCACTGTTCTCACACAAAAATATCAATGTGTTCTGTTTTGTTTCATTTTTTTCACCCTTCAGATCTCGTAAGGTGCTGAAGATGTGGCAGTTTATGGACCAGTCAGACATCGAGACCATGAGAGGTTTAAAGGATGCCATGGCTCAGCATGAGTCCTCCTCTGAGTACAAGAAGGTTGTGACCAGAGCTCTTAATATCCCAGGATGCAAGGTGGGCCTATGTTTACCCCAATGGCATTTGATCCTCTAACTCACTGACCTTGGCTGCACTGTAATTTTTATTTTTGTTTTTTTTTTTCTCTTACACATATACACTGTAGGTTGTGCCATTCTGTGGGGTTTTTCTAAAGGAGCTAAGTGAAGCGTTGGATGGCACAGCAAGCATCATCAGCCTCAAACCGTCTCCTGATAACATAGAATACTCGATAGAGGTGCAGAAAACACCTGCAGTCATTCGCAAAAATACACAGATCTGATAAAACTGACACTATATTACATATTTGATATCCTGTTAGTATAATCCATCTTGCACTGCTGTTTCTGCCTCCAGTTTGTGTCCGATTACAGCGGCCAGCGCAATTACTTGTCTCGATCTGGCCCAGATGGGCTCCATGTGCCAGAGAAGGAAGCTACTGTGAGCAACATCCTTCAGATTATCAGGTATGTGCATGCTTAATGACTAAAGCGATGGTGTTTGACACAGTCGTCTCTCCTGTTCTTTACTTTATCCGTCTGTTTGACTCTACTGTTCCTGCTCCTTAGATCTTGCAACCGGAGTTTAGAGGCAGAAGATCCTGATGACGCGTCCACCAGTCCGTCTTCTACTGGCCCGTCCCCCGCATCCAGAAACAACTCCTTCAAAGACCGCAGCCACAATCAGTTAGTTCAGTTTCTTCTCCCCCCCTTTTTTTTTAGTGTGCCATCCAAGCTTTTGTTGTGAGATATTTCAGCGTGCAGTGTCAGGTATGAGACCCTAGAAAAATGAGGTGTCTTGTTAAAGAATATCCCAGAATAGCATCTGTTTACCGTGACCGGGTCTTGATTCTTTCCAGTTGACGGATAGTGTGTATTTTAACGCAGTGTAAGGGATGTTCATGTAAGTAGTTTAAGGCATACAGGAGAAAGTATTAAATGGTACATAGCATGCGACCAAATTCACCAAGACCCAAGGACGTCATGAATCACTTGACTGGCTTTTATTTTTACTATTTGTCAACTGCCGATGAACTCTGCTTCATCATGCTGATGTGTTGATTTAATACAAAAAAAGCAACATTTTGCTGTGCTTTCTTTTTCTTTTTGACTTTTATTTTGACTTCCTGCTCTCACGTTGCACAAAAGTTAGTAATACTCATGCTCTCACTTTACCATTGTGTTATTTTACATTTTTGGTTACGTTTTTGGTCCTCTATTATGGCAGCCTGAAGATTGTATTGTTTAGCACTGTGACCCTTTCTATCAAAGGTCTGTTTCCAAAATTGGATTCTTTATTTTGCTGGTCATTCACAGACAATGACTCATGGACACAGCAGAAGAATGTTATATACAGATTTATATCAGAACTGCGAATACTGCCATGCTGTGAGGGCTTGGCTTTGCTGGTAGCGCAGTTCTGAGCAAAATCACAATAGATGCAGTGCATTCATTAGCTTGCTTACAAATGTGCAGCTACAACAGCCTCTGTTGAAGCAAACAAGGCACTGCAATTTAGCGATAGACAAAAGTTTAACATTTAACAAAGCCACTAAGCCTTAATGATTAATGCACAGCTATTTTAAATGTAGGGGATATCCTCAAGTGCCAAGTAGGCTGGATGTTCACCAAAGTCTTATTTTGGATTAGTGCGCAGTTTTCTTTGATAAACACCAGCGCGAGATAACAGGTTTGTGAAGGAACACATTTGCAGATTGTTACTGAGATGAAGTGATGTTGACATGAAATCTGTGTGGGGCAGAGTTAAAAAAAAATAGATAACAGGTTAGTTTCCTGTCAGGACAGGAAGGAACAGAGTTCTGGTTGTTGTCAGCATTCTGGTGGCAGGTAGCTAATAACAAAGGCTGGAATTTGGAGGACGTAGAAAGTCATTTAATTCCAGCTGTGATCTGTTATGTTTGCAGTCAGGAAACCTGGACCATTTTATGTGTTTGTAAACTGTTTTCTCAGATTCAGACAAATTATTCGATGTTAGCACAGAATTTGGAGTTCATAGCTTCATAGTGTGTATCTTTCTTAAACATAGACTACAGTTTCAAAAAAATCACCTTTCTTCTGTGTTCTGGATCTTTTTCCCACCAGCACCCACTTGAAAAAAAGACCTCAAAAAACTACTGAAAACTCTTTATGCGTTCTTTTTTTCGTCTCACATCCTCTCTTCGTTCTTTGTTTCCTGCTCCCCTTCTAGTTCCCTTTCATTTAAGACGACTCCAGAAAAAAAACATGTTTTGTAAGTTGTTTCACAGTATAAGTTACTGGAATTTGAACAATGCTTGCTATCATCAGTATGTTTCAGATTACGGTTTAATTAGAAGCATGAGCAGTGACTAATGCATGGTACTTTTTTCTTCTTTTTTTTTGCTTGATCAAGCCAATGCTTGCAGGATAGGTTCAGTTTCTGTTTGGTTCTTCTTAGTTGAGATGCAGGTCATTTCTTATGTCTGATTGAATTGCTTTTTAAAAATAAAATGAGTCCTATGAATACAGAGATGTGCATTTGGAAAATCGCCTCGGAAATCAGCATGCAAAAACTTTAAAAGACGCAAAAATCTTTGGCTCTTAAACTTTCTTTCCAAACCCATCTAACCCCCGTCCGTCTTCAGATTCTCGGTCGGAGACTTGTCGGATTCAGATGGTGACTTGTCTACCGAGCCGGTGGTGAAAGAAGTGGAGTTTCAGGGGACCGAGGAGACGCACAGAGCTTTTAGCCATGGCACGGAGCTCATTCCCTGGTAAGAGGCTCAAGCACACATGCAAACACATCCAGCTGTTGGTGCCTCAGCAGACGTGCGACAAACTCTTGTGTTTTTTTCCAGGTATGTGCTGTCACTACAACCAGACATTTACCAGTTTCTGCTGCAGGGCGCTACGGTCATTCATTACGACCAGGACGGCCATGGCAGTGCTCGCTGTCTGCTACGTCTACAGCCTGATAATACAACACTCACTTGGGGTAAATTGCAAGAGTTTAGTATTAAGAAATTTGACCTTATCTTTTACTGAGTTATTCAGCAACCTCGTTCTTCATGAGTCATATTCATATAGGATACCAGTTTACCAGTGTAAGGGGGTGTGGGAGGCTTGATACGCTGAAATCACTGCATCAAACCTTCCTTTTCTCAGAACTTTTTTAGCATGTTTATACCTCAAACAGACGAGACCAATTTCCTCTCTCGTTGTTTCTCTTTAAACAGATTTAAAGGGCATTATAAAAAAAGTATATTTTTTATTTTAAATGTGCTTTACGTGTTTATCTACAGAATAAAAGCCTCAGTTTAAACTGCTTGTAAATTTGTGCATTCATGCAAGGGCTCTTCAATTTCCGTTTGCCGTTACAGCAGCTCAAACAGTCATAAATATGTTGATTTACGGCAGGTAAACCTCAAAGCGGAGGCCCTTCCCCTGCAGAGCAACCACTGGGATTGGGGCAGGCTGTAGTGGCTGGGCTAGCAGAAGGCCTGCTGGACCTGGGAATAGTGAAGGTTTGTCATAAAAAGAAATCTTTTTTTGGTTTTGTAGATTTTAAAAACCCAGATTAGCTTTCAAGTTCATAACTTTGTGTTTATTTGAATGTGCAGGCAGTGTTTCTGGGCCATCAGGGTGTCGATGTTCATGCTGTATGTTTGCAAAACAAGCTGAGTCAGATGACAGTGGAGGAGAATGGCCTCAGCCTTCTGTATGGTCTGAGTACCACAGACAATAGGTTGGTGCCTTTTTATAATCTATTAGGATTCAAATGCACTTTTATGTAGAGTTACTGTTACACTGCTAAAACATTTTCATTTTACTTAAAACTAACTAATCTCCTGACTGATGCCATTAGACTTCTGCACTTTGTGGCCCCCAATCACACGGCACAAATGCTCTACAAGGGCCTGTCGGAGTTGGTGAATGCAACCAGGAAATTAAAGAAGTTTCCTGACCAAAGGTTGCAGTGGCTGAGGAAGCAGTATGTCAGTTTGTATCAGGTAAAACTCTAAAAGTACATGTCTCTCTCCCATCAATTTTTTAATGATTATTATTGACACTGACTGTATTTTATAAGCCTGTAAAAATGTTCAGCACACAAAGAAGGATGGAGGAGTTGGATGGATGAAAAGAAGTGGTGTGTGTTTAATTAACAGTAACATTTGTATTCATCTATTCTAGGAGGACGGCAGGTATGAAGGCCCTACACTAGCCCACGCCATTGAGCTTTTTGGGGGTCGGAGGTGGAATATGGGTACGGGTGGTGGAGACAAGGTTGGAGCCCAGAAGAACAACCCCCTGTCGAATGAGAAAGCCAAGAAGAAGAAGAAGGTTCTTGCCAGGGTCAGTAATTTGACCTTTTGCTGTAGTCATGGATGCTAACTTTAGGTTTTAGGTTTTTCACAGACTCATTTTTGACATCGGTCTTTTTTTCCTCACACCTTTAACAGGGAGACAGTGGGGATGCAACCGATGACGAGATGGTTTCCAGGAAAACACGGAGCTGTAAAGAAGGACTGTATCGAAACGGTCCAGAGTCTGACAGCATCGACCAAGAAGATCCAGGTGATGTTACCTCACTCATGGTAACATGTAGAAGTTACAAGGCCAGATCAGTTTAATTGGTGTTTTCTAGAAACCCGACCAAATGCTTCAGATCTTATAATTTTCTGTCTGTGTGACCGATCTTTATTCACACTCTACACTCTTTGCCTCCACAGAAGACAGCATCCCCGGATCATTCTCCCTCACATCCAGTAAAAGCCCCGGATTGCTATCCTCTTCCTCTTCCTCCTCCTCTTCCTCCAGCATGGCAGGGTCCAACCCGACCCGTCCGCAGTCTTCTCCAATCCTTTCGGGAAATGCTAAATCCCAGCCAGGGTATGTGAAAAATGACTGTAGCGGGGCACGTTTGACCCCACTGACGTCTAACACTTTATTTTTTCCATCCCAGCGAATATATGTTTCCTTTTCTTTGGGGCCTGCAGGGCATGGAGCAGCAGATCGTGGCACGGCCGGGGTAAAGGCTGTTTCAAAAGCTTTCAGAATCTCATGATTTCTGACAGCACAATGAGCTTCATCGAGTTTGTCGAGCTTTTCAAATCATTCAGGTAAATGATCTGATCTTGTGTTTCTTACATTTCTTACATGTTTCCAAAGCAGAGGAAGAGATGTCGGCCGTGCTGGCTTCATTCAGTTCAAGTTCTGACTATTTAAATATAACTTCTGTTTTATCTAAAAATGCATTTTTCCAGCTAAGTGTAATGACTCATTGTTCACATATGCTGTATGTCATATCACATACTGCACATGCCCTGTGCAGTGCTTTTGGAGCTCAGGCCCTCTTGTTATATAACTACTGTTCTTATCAATAGTAGCTAAAGACAGTGATAAAACATATGCAATAAAAAATACCTCTCAAGGTTATTGTGCCAAGGGCATTTTCCAAGCATTCTTCATAATATTTAGCTTGCATGAATTCTTCCCCAGTCAAATGGATGGACATACATCTTTCACCCAGACAAGCAAAGGATTGTTTTAATTTTAGCCCCTCTGCATTTCTTAGATTGCAGAGTGTCCTCTCATCTGCTGCCCAGCAGATTTCTTTTAATTTCTTATAAAGACAAAAGCTCTTGGGCAACTCTTCAAACTCTCTCTTGTAAAAGAAATTTAGAGGCAAATAAATGTATTTCTGATTGGGTGGCCGCCTCCTCCCCAGTTCAAGTGGCATGGCTGCAAAGCTGAAAATTAAAGAAGAGCTATTGTTCTGATTTCCATTTACATATTTTTTCCCCTAGACTCTAGAGTAGCTTTGCATGATTCACAATTTGAATTAATCCTTATATCTTACTCTTGGAGCAACTCCCAAGTTCATCTTCTGTCTGACACAAGCTTCTCTCCTCTGACCATATTAGGGATATCCACACTTATTGACATTATACAGATAAGCCAGAGCTTTTGGCTCACAGGGATTGCTTGTCTACACTTACTATTTGAAACTCATGATTTGAGAATCTTCCATTGTGACGGTATATGTATAAAAAACCCTTTATATAATAATTTAATTTAATATACTAGGGGCATGGGGACATGATGTGCTGCTAAAACTGGACTCCACTCTGTAATTTGTTTTTCAACAGTATCCGAAGCAGGAAGGACCTGAAGGAGCTGTTTGACACCTTTGCTGTCCCCTGCAGTCGCTCAAGCCCAGAATCATGTCCTGTTTACACCAACCTCAGGATAGATGACAAAGACACAGGACTGCAGCCAGACCTTGGTAAAAGATCAAAGAGAAGTTACAGAAGTCAAAAACATACACACCTCTTTCTCTTTTACTCTAAATCTCTCCCTCTCCTCTGTAGATTTGCTAACTCGTAACGGGTCGGATCTCGGCCTGTTTATCCGGACCAGGCAGCAGATGTCCGACAACCAGAAGCAGATTTCAGATGCCATCGCAGCAGCCAGCATTGTGACCAACGGGACGGGGGTGGAGAACGCGTCATTAGGCGTCTTGGGACTGGCTATCCCTCAGCTCAATGACTTTTTAGTCAACTGTCAGAGAGAGAACCTGAGCTACGATGAGATTCTCAGTATTATACAGGTAAAGTCTGGATTCTTAAATTCACATTCTCAAATCATCTTCATGGTTAGGGGGAAAGATGAAGGAAGAAAAAGAAGGGAAAAGGAACTCACCAATTTTTTCTCTTGCAGAAATTTGAGCCTTCATCAAGCATGAGACAAATGGGGTGGATGTCATTTGAAGGTTTTGCAAGGTAAAGAAAAATAGGAGTTATCAGAGATCATTATACTTCAAAGTGCATGAAAATGTAAATTTATAGAGCACAACATAAAAGTTGTCACTGTTGTAGGAAGCCTAAGGGGGTAGCTCTTGATAAGTGCTAAACTTCTACCGACTCCCTTTTGGACTTTAAACATTTATTTACACCATAATGAGTTTGTGTATTGCTGATACAGCCTCAGTGATGCATTTTGCTTTTATATTTTATTTTTATTTTCTTTCTTTAACATGCTTCATTGCATGTTGTTGGCATCTTTCTCTTTATATCAGGTTCCTGATGGACAAGGACAACTTTGCTTCACGTAATGAGGAATCTCAGATGAATCCAGAGGAGCTGCAATACCCTCTGTCTTACTACTACATCGAGTCTTCTCATAACACCTATCTGACTGGGCACCAGCTCAAAGGAGAGTCCTCTGTTGAGCTCTACAGCCACGTAAGCCGGATCGTTTTTTAACCAAGCCCGCTGAGATTGTGCGGTTTGTTGAAAACTGCCACTTACTTGTGAACGTCTCGTTTGCTTAGGTGCTCCTGCAAGGCTGTAGGAGCGTCGAGTTGGACTGCTGGGACGGAGACGATGGCATGCCTGTTATTTACCACGGCCACACACTCACCACTAAGATACCCTTTAAGGTTTGAAATGCACATGAATAATTTAATTCATAAAGGGGAAATAGATTGTTGGGGCATCAGTCGCTGGCTCTCTGCTCCCATACCTCATCTCATGGACTCGGTGGAAGCCTCTAGAACAAAATCTGTATCTTTAAACACAAGTGCTCTCTTATGATAGACTCAGGGGTGACGGATCCAGAGAGGAATCCCAGAAAGTCAAACGAATTGTGTCAGCGTTATTTATTTTATGTAATCTGATTTGGGGCCTACAGCTGCATCTAATTTGAAGCTGTTACCCAAAGCTGTTTGAGTTTTATTGTTACATATTTGACTTGCAGTGCTTTTATCGACAATTTCTTCCTTTTCATCTTCTCTCCCGTGGTCCTTCAGGATGTGGTGGAAGCAATTAACCGGTCTGCGTTTGTCAATTCTGATATGCCCGTCATCCTGTCCATAGAAAACCACTGCTCCCTTCCTCAGCAACGAAAGATGGCTGAAATCTTCAAGGTATGAAGGCAGCCTAGTCCTGTCTCTGTCCTTAGAGTTACTGTGTTTCTTGTGTGTCTTTAATTTAATTTTGCAGTTACTGATTAGTAAGCGAGACAGATGAGAATGCCACTGAGCAGTAAAAAACAAAAACTTCTTTTCAATTGGATTGGACATCTCATAGCGTGACTGTGAGGTAACTTATAAATTCACCCAATTAGAAGCTTCGTCTGTCTTTGTTTAAATCTCAGAGCGACACTATTTTGTGGCAGAGGGAAAAATAAACAATAATAAAATAAAAGGAACTAAAATCCTTAGTTTGGCAGCCATGCTCCTTGTTCAGCTATTCTATCCTTTATATTTAGGGAATAACGTTCCCTTTCAAGTAGGCTTGTTTGTTGTGCGACTCCACTCATTTGATTTCCTTGACCCTTGTTTTTTTTTCCAGCTGTTCTGGGCATTCAAACTGGCCAACGTCCAGACGCTTGCTTTTATGAACTTCAGGGCGCAAATGACCCTTTCATCTTCTTCTTCTTCGTCTTTTTTTTTTCTAAATTATGAAGCCCACAGATATCTTGGCACGACAGCTATATCGTGGAATATCATTGTGCTTTCATCTCGCAAAACTTCTGAGCGTTTCATCCTCCTTGGAGACTGACTTCTGAGTAGCTTGATAAAGGAAATTCTTTTATCTGCAGACAGCTCTGTGCCTCAGGCCAGCTAACATCACCATGGTTTTGTTTATTTGTAATGTTGTTTTGCATGGATAAAATTACTTTATTTGTATTTGGAAGATTCTTCCGCAGCCTCTGAATTCCATCCTTTCACTTGATACTTTTCTTAGCACTCGACTTGACTTTCCTGATGGTGTGGTTTTTGTTATTTTTTTCTGTTTTTAAACTAGACTGTGTTCGGCGAACGCCTTGTGACGCGCTTCCTTTTCGAAAGCGACTTCAACGATGACCCTCATCTACCATCGCCGCTGCAGCTTCGAGGGAGGATACTGCTCAAGAACAAGAAACTCAAAGCCCATCAGGCACCGGTGGACATACTCAAGCAGAAGGTGAAGAAGAAACGCATCTTCCTCACACATTTGTGTCAGCAAAACTTGTTCAAATTTCATAAATAATATAAGAACCTTCCAGGTAGCTCCAGAACCTTAAACATCTATCATTGTTTGTCATTAGAGTGCAGTCAAACATCAATAATGGATGGAGCTGTGCTAAAAGGTTCACCCCATCATAACTTTCAAGCAAGAAAAATGCTTATATCTACAGTATAGATGCTGTGTGCATAGGCACTTATATATATGCTTTCAAAGTAGAATTTTCTATTTTTTTTATTAGTATTTTTATTTTAACCCCTTTCCCAGGCTCACCAGCTCGCCCACATGCAAGCCCAAGCAAGCAACGGGTCTCCAGGAGTGACTTCACCCAACAATCATGCCAATGAGGAAGAGGAAGAAGAAGAAGACGACTATGATTATGATTATGAGTCTCTATCAGATGGTAATGAAACCCGCATTGTGGTGTGTGATCGGAAACGTCTAGAATTCAACTGAAGTGTGCGACTTATCAGATTTCTACATCCTTTCAGACTTAACTAGTGCACGACTTACTCATAGATTCTTGTGTTGTAAGCTTTAAATCGGTTTCTGTTCACTAGGTTTTTCTGTTTCTCTTCTTTTTAACACTTAATTCTCGTTTTATTTTGACACCCTGTTCTTACTCCCTCACCCTTCCTATTTTATCTTGCTTGTTTTCCACTTAGCTGATGGCCTCGCTGCCTCTACTGCCTCGTATGGTCTTGAAGGTAAATGCGCACCTATGATGTGCCTTTCTAAGTATTTCCTTCTGCTTTTTTTCCTTTTCTTTTACAGATTCATGCTGTTCTTCAAAAATTAACCACTGAAATTTCCCTTATTACTGTTTACCAATTGCTACATAACATACTATATTCAGTTGGGTTTTAAGACAATGTTATGATTGTTGGTGCAAATTTACAGCACTGTGCAAAAGTCTTCAGCGACCCCTCTTTTTAAAAATATTTTGCTTCTTTTAATTTGTTAAAGTAATCTTGAGCAATAGTTCTCAGGATTTTCCAAAACTGGATGAAATTATGAACACAGAAAAATATTGTCAGATTCTGATCCACCATGTAATTTCATCTTGAGTGTCTGATCGGCAGCGACTTCATTTTTCAGCACGATAATGATCCCAAACACACTGCCTGTGCAGTAAAAGCAGGCCTAGATAGAAAAACACACCGTGGAACACTAACAGTCATGGATTGGTCTCCCCAGAGTTTACACCTCAACATGTGTGGGAGCAGTGTGGGATCATTTTGACAGAGAACATAACAAAAGGCAGAAACACCAAAGAAAAGCTTTGAATGTCCTTCAAGAAGCCTGGAGAACTATTCCTGAAAAGTACTTAGTATTTGGTATGACCACCTCTAACTTTCAAGTTTATTAGAACTGTACAAACTACATTTGTGTCTTATATAAATGGTAAATGGCCTGTATTTATATAGCGCTTTTCTAGTCCCTAAGGACTCCAAAGCACTTTACACATCCAGTCATCCACCCATTCACGCACACATTCACACACTGGTGATGGCAAGCTACATTGTAGCCACAGCCACCCTGGGGCGCACTGACAGAGGCGAGGCTGCCGGACACTGGCACCACTGGGCCCTCTGACCAATATAGCGTATTTCTATTTCTATTTGCATGTTTAAAAAAATCACCCTTTTTCCCCCTGGCAAAATATAAAGAAATGATGGGTGGCTCGACACTTTTGCACTGCACTTTAGCTGCTGATCTCGTCTATTGCCGCCGAATAACTAGACACAAGGGTTGGAAAGCATTGGTATGAAACATGCGCTGCTGTGCTGCATCGCTGCTTTGGACGTACTCCTATATTTTCCTGCATTCCTGTTGTAGCTGCTAGCTTTCTTCAGATAGTGCTGTAGTGTAACCATCTTCCATGGTAACAAGCATTTCAAAATGTCACTGTTACATAATATCTGGAACCCAGGAAAAGAAATACTCCATCCAGTCCATTTGATATCAAAGAATTGTTTGACAGAAACGAGGAAGAATAATGTGGTAGTAGTGTCAGCCTGAGCGATCAGGCAAAACATTCTGCCTCAGGCACCACTGACAAATAAGGGCAGCCATCTGTAGCGCAGATATTCACTGTTCACTCGGGTACTATTCAGGTCCTGCTTTATAGTTATTTTAATTCATAGTGTTGTGAGGGATTACCTGATTATTTGAATCGGTTGTAGATTGCTAACGAAGGATGATTAGTGAGTGATCAGGAGTGTTTGTTATGATGTAGACTTGTTTTTATTGCTCTTATGTAATTTCGATAGCATCCCAACCTCCCAGCTTGCCTCCATACTTTCCCTGGAAGCAATATCAATATGTAGCCTCTGACTAGATACTGTTTACTGCAGTACACAGAATTTTTTTCCTCAGTTGTATAGATGCAGTGCTTGGATGGGACAGCATGTTAAAAAGAGAAAAACATATTTTTTATATGTGATCAAACAATATACGGTCAGCATTATGTCTCTTTCTCCCACAAACGCATCACCTCCCTTCCTCCATCCCTCCGTACTGTATTTGTCCATGACCTCGCCAGTGGCTGGGCAGGCTCATCAGGGAAACAAAACAAAGCCATCTGGTTTCTCAGGCCCTGCGCTGCCCCTGCACTAAACAACAGACCAGGGGAAACTACCCTGTCCCAGTCCCAACACTGCTCGCTCCTAATTCCTCCACTATGCTCGTCTCAGTCACAGGAACTTACTGGTCATGGACCAATTTAAAAATCAAAAACAAACCCATCTCTCTCATCTGAACTCTTTAGATTGATTAAACCTTGCTTCTTAATACCTAGTGCCGCTGTTATGTAATTTCAGACGCTGGATGTTAAAATTGGCAAGCGAACAATTCCCGCCCCAGCCTGACGTCTTCATTTCACCATACACATTTGGCACATGCACAGGCCCCGCTAATACAAACACTTTTGAACTAAGCTGCCAACTTGCCACCCTCTCCCGATAAGTAGTGGCTCCCCTCCAGTCACCGTCTGGTCCAGCTCACTTCTCTGGCTGCTGTCTATAGCTTAAATATTCAGTGTCAGCTCCTTCTGATAAACAGTTGTTTCTTTTTGTTCTTTTTCTAAAGAAGAAGATGTCAAGAATTGAACACGTTGTCTGTGATAAAAAGCGTCTGCATTTTCAAGTTTGCTGTGGTTTTGGCTGCGATTAATGAGTAGGAGGAATGGGAAGAACTCCCCTGCTGTTGCTCCTGTTTACAGTTGAGAGACGTCGCTTTAAATATTAGTAGGAAGGGGCCTTTGTGCGCTTTAGCTTCGGTGCTCCTGAACCGTGCGAGTAGTCAGCAGAGATTTACGAGGTGACGGGTTTCAGCTAAAACCAAAAATTCTTCTTTTAATTGTTCCCAGCTGTGAAGCGGGTCAGCGTGGACAGTCAGTCGTCAGTATGATATAAATGCTTTTATTAAGTTTTTAATGAGTGGCCAGAATGACTTGAAACAGGTAAATCTAGCGGCCACTCTGTTCTCTGAGAAAACAAGAAAAATCCTCATTTAAGTTGCTTTTGTTTTTACAAGCAGTAGATTCCCAGATGATAAATATTCTTCTTCCCTTCTTCCCTTGCATGCTATGTCTTATTGGTGATTTAATGTACACTATATCAGGAGCAGCTCCAGTGCACAAATGTTATTTATGGATCTTTGACAGGCCAGTTTCTGCCTTAAATATACTTGCCTGCTTTGCCCGATGAAAAATACGAATCTGGGATGGTGCATTTAGTATACTTTCATTATCAGAGTCCATATTGCAAGCATTAGCACAGATTTTTCTTTCTTGATTGACAGGCATAAGGCTCGCTAATTTTGGTGGCTGCTTGTTGCCGTACAGTCAGCTCGGTGTAAAGCTCAGGTGTCACTAAAACCCGTTTTTTTTGCCTGTCCTCTTCTGTATAGATAATATACTTGATGACAAGCCAGAAGGCAAGAGTTCGGCCGAGAAAGAAGAGCAACCTGCTGATGAAATACCCAAAAGGATGAAGAAAGCTGATAGCACTACACAGAGCAAAGGAAAGGTAGAGATATAAATGTACCTAATCTCAAGGAAAGTTGCCCTTCGTGCTGCTTCCTTTAAAAGAAATTCTTATAAGATTGATTATGTCAGATTACTGAAAAAGAAAGGTTCAGTTAGGTTAGGTTCAGAGTGTGGTTCAGCCTCTGATTCAGCACTACATTTACACTTATATAGTGAAATGTTAGCAGTGCTCTCCATGTCCCGTGTGTGTCTGCACCTGTAGGTGTTCGACATGGAGCTCGGCGAGGAGTTCTACCTTCCCCAGAATAAGAAGGAGAGTCGACAGATCGCCCAGGAGCTGTCCGACCTCGTCATCTACTGCCAGGCTGTGAAATTCCCTGGTAGGGATCGCTCCGTCTCTTTGCCAAACAGATCTCCTTGTTCCCTTGAATTTCATTAGAACAGACTTTTCTTTATCTTTACTATATATGCCGTCTCCTTTTATCCACCGATATTCTGCTTTCAACTCTCTCCTTTTAATTTCTAAATGCTGTGTATTTCATTTCTCTTTTTTTCTGGATCTTGTCCCACCCTAATCCACTCCCATGTTATATTTAAGAGGGCAAACCTTTCCCCGTGTTTTCAGACATCCAATATCCCTGTGTTACACTCCATTCCTATCCCACACAGGACACCCACTAAGATGATGAATCATCTTCCTCCCATGGAAAAGATACAGTTACTTAGTTTTGCTGTTATTCCCCGGACGGCACAACAACACAAGTTATTTTACGCCGGACAGTAAGAAATTGTTTTGCGGATGTCCTGATGGATGAGTACAGTTCAAATACGAACCCAGGGTCTTCGTCGTGTCATGTCATGTCGCCCTTGTAGCTCTCATGCACTTTCATTGCCTTGCAATAAGTAGAAAGTGAGAAATGCTTGAGTTGGCTTCAAATTTCTTTTTCTTTCCTTTTTAAAAAAAAATGTGCTTATAAAACATCTTATCTCGCCCGTTTACGGGAATCTGCCCTGATTGCATGCTTGCATTTATCTCGAAAAGATTTCTCTTTGTCCCTTAAACATCAACCTCTTATCGCCTCTTCCCTCGAGCGTCCTCTTCTGTTTGTCTCCTCTTTTCTTTAACTGACATCTGCCCTTATAAACTTGCCTGTGTTTCCACTGGTATTCTGTTTGTTTACCGTTTCCAGGGACCCGAGATATGAGAAAGAGGAAGTAGGGCAAGTGGTCCAATTCGGACAGGCAGCAGACTGGTTGCAGCTTTGTGTAGTCGGGAGTGATTTTTAGCTGAACGGGCCACTTATGTACAAGTGTCTGAATCAATTTAAAAACACTCACCATTCATAAAATGAAAAGGGCATTTCTCATCTGAAGTATTTTCAGAAGGGAGACTAGAGTACTGTTGCTAAATAAGAAGTAGGACAACATCATTTGCATGCTATTCCTCCCCACTGATAGATGATTAATTTCATGGCCTTAATGGCAAACAACTTTTGAGTTGCTTTACAGAACATGAAGCCCAAAATATAGATTATAAAACACCTTTTTATGGCAGATGTAAGTTTTCAAATTAAATTCCCTTCAAGTGAATACTGAAAGAAAATGGCTCTGATATGTTTTGGTTTTTTCAAGCAAATTACGATTAAGAAGAGACTCTTGGGATACTTGTGGTGTCTCTAGTCTGTCTGCCTTTCATTAATGACTCGTCTCTTCTGTCTGCTTCCTCTGTGTGGGAACCCAGGCCTTTCTACTTTGTCTCCGGCTGGCTCTAGCAGGGGGAAGGACCGAGGAAAGAGCAGGAAGTCCATATTTGGCACGGCTCCTTCTCGCAGCAGTGCAACAGGGGAGGTCACGACCCAGAGCCGCACCCCTGGGAAAGGTGAGCCTGGCCCGAGGAGGTTTATGTGTGCGGGTGCATATGGGAAACATGAAACACGATGTAAAACTGCCAAAGTTTTTAGTTAATGCTGTTTTATCCTAACTTAAATCATGTAGGACCCACATCACTTGATGGAGACGTTTTCATGGCCTTTAAAAGTGTCTCTGTCCCTCAGGTGGTTCAGAGCGACTCAGCTGGGAGGAGCAGCAAACGTCTCCTGTCCTCAACCCCTCCACCTCACTCAGCGCCATCATCCGCACACCAAAGTGTTACCACATCTCCTCCGTCAACGAGAACGCCGCCAAGCGCCTGTGCCGCCGTTACTCTCAAAAGCTCATCCAGCACACGGAGTGCCAGCTGCTCAGAACCTACCCGGCGGCCACCAGGATCGACTCGACCAACCCCAACCCTCTGCTTTTCTGGCAGCATGGCATCCAGCTGGTGGCACTCAATTATCAGACTGATGGTGAGCGTATGTCTGTATGAAGGGCCATTCACTTCTGACAAACAGCACTTCAGAATTTAATATAACACTGTAATAGCCAGAGGATGATAAAGAAGAAATGACAGTTTTATCATTTTATTGCAGCCCTTTTCTTTTCTTTTTTTTTTACAGCGGTGAAAAAAAAATTTCATATTAGGTTTGGTGAGACTTTTCGTGCATGCACTCACTTAAACGTGGACGTTTTGTTTAAAGGAAAATCTCTCGTCTTCTACAACAGCAAATAGACAAGAACGATTTCAAATTGTCAAACAACTGACAGTATCCAAACGACGTAGCGCTCTTTATGACCTGTTTTAGAAAAACTTACTCTCTGTATCCTCCCCAGACCTGCCCATGCAGTTGAACACGGCGCTATTTGAGGCCAACGGTGGATGTGGCTACGTACTGAAGCCGGCAGTGTTATGGGACCGTAGCTGTCCACTTTATCAGCAGTTCTGTCCGATGGAGCGGGATGTGGAGAAAATGAGCCCTGCTGTCTACTCCCTCACAGTGAGTTAGGAAGAATGTCCTCTTCACCCTTCAGCCCTGAACTTTGCTCGACATTACATGCCACAGCTACGTGTTAGAGCTCAAACACCTGACATAGTCATATCCAACATTAAACAGTCTTGTCAGCTGCCTAGTACAAATGCAGACAGGTCTCGGTAGCAGGTAGTCGTCAGTTGAGCGCACAGCAAGCGAGTGAGTGTCATGCCCACTCAGGTGGACCCACATCTGAAGCTGCTGAAGCCTAAAGCCTACATGTGAGTTCAACTGAGGACCTGATAATGGCTGAATTTCCAGTTTGCATTTTAAGTATTCATAAATATCCCATAAATAAATCCATATGAATTTGTTACATCCTTTTCAATCTTCATCTACTGTATATGGTGCAGTTTTTGAACTCTCTAGGCCTTTAAAACTTAAAACTCACCGACATACCTGCATCTTTGCAGTGCATTAAGGTGCTCAATATATTAATAATATAATGAGTATAAATATGCTAAGATGCTTAAGGGTTTGCCACTGAAGTTACATTTTTACAAAACTGTTAAATGAAGTAAAATTAATATCAGTGCACATTTCGATGGTATATCTTTACATACTGTTTGTGGGTCTCATACAGGTTTGTTATAACTCAAAAAAGGCTTAATCTTAATAATTGGTAGATTTTTATTTTACTGCTTTTAATTACAATAAAGTCAAAGTAATTTGTGTATATATTTGTTATCTTAAATGATATCATACACATTGAAATGTTTAGTTTGTGTGTGTGTATATTGGAGAATTAGGTACCTTTAAGAAATGGTAAAAGAACGTTAAATACATTTTTATATTCTTGGGTCGTCTAATAGTCTTTAACGATATGACACCTCCGCTGCTCTTTTCTGCTCAGATTGTGTCCGGGCAGAACGTTTGTCCCAGTAACAGTGCCGGCAGCCCCTGCATCGAGCTGGATGTTCTGGGCATGCCCATCGACAGCTGCCACTTCCGTACCAAACCGATCCACCGCAACACCCTCAACCCCATGTGGAACGAACACTTTCAGTTCACTGTGCATTTTGAAGAGATGTGTTTCCTGCGATTTGCCGTGGTGGAGAACAACAGTTCCCAGACCACAGCTCAGAGGACTCTCCCACTTAAAGCCCTCAAACCAGGTACAAATACCAGATAATGTACATCTGATAAAACTTTGTCTCCAGGCTGTAGATGGGACTTTTATACACCAATAAAAATATGATGTAATCAGTCTATTTCAAACCACTAAAAGGTTTTCAAGACCGTTTAATTTTTTGTTTTTATGTGTTTGTGTTGTAGGTTACAGACATGTACAGTTGAGAACACAGCACAACGAGTCTCTTGAAGTCTCCAGCTTATTTATCTACAGCCACAGAACAGAGGAAGGTCCAGCAGGGGGCGCTACTGCCTCATCTTTGGTAAGATTTATTCAGGTTTGCTGCTTTTAAGAAAAACTGTAGATCAGATTCCACTTCTTCGTGTTACTGTAATTTTAAGAAACTTCTTTAAGGCGCACTAAATAATGCTTTGCAATCCAAATAAATTCAGAGAAAGTGGAGAAAGTAAGAGGGAGCATCTGGCATTCAGTGTGTTTTTATAATGACCTGCTGCCTTACATCTCTCTGACTCCCAAAACAGCTGTTCAGTTCTGAGGAGAAGCATGCGTCCCAGCAGCACAGGGTGACGGTGCACTGCGCTCCCGGTCCTGAACCCTTCACTGTTTTCTGTGTTACTGAGCAGACCACCGCCAAACAGCTGCTGGACGTGGTCAGTGCTGTAGAATCTGTAGAGCATTTATAAAGGCTGCAGTCACGGGAGTCACACACTTTTAAGCTTTATCTCTCTTCTCTACAGGTTGTGGGGTCAGCGGGAAACCCATCCGAATACTTTTTGTGTGAGGAGAAGGTTCCCCTGTTGAAGGAACGCAGCGAGGTGAAGCGCTGCCCGCAGCACCGAGCTCTAGCACCTGAGGAGGAGGTGGTCAGGGTGGTGTCCAGCTGGAACACTGAGGAGGGATATGTGAGGAGACTGTGCCTCAAAACTAGAGAGGAGGTACACATGTTTAGTAGATGCAGTTAGAGTAATAAGCGGTTTCTCAAAAGCTTTTGTGAAGGCTATGTTGCAGACTCTGGCTCCCCCTTGTGGTTGTGTCATGCACTGTTTGACTGTTACTGTTGCTTTTAATTGCTGCAGAACTTGAATGAGAAGAACACGGTGGTGGAGGGAGAGGAGGAGGTGACTGTGGCAGGCAGAGAAGGAGGTGGAGGAGGAGGAGGAGGGGAGGATGATATGTTCTTTGTCCAGGTCCATGAAGTTTCACCCGAACAGCCTCACACTGTCATCAAAGCTCCACGCTACAGCACGGCTCAGGATATCATACAGCAGGTGAGTCCAGGAGAAACAAACACATTATATAAACAAGCATGAGTCACAGCAGAAAGCACATCCTAATATTTTCAATTTTCTTTGTTTTTTGGCCAGACTCTGTCAAAGGCTAAGTATTCCTACAGTATCCTCGCTAACCCCAATCCATGCGACTACGTGTTGATGGAGGAAGTGACCAAGGACGTCGGCTCTAAGAAGTCCTCGTCCACCAAGCCTCTTCAGCGAGTGCTGCTGGATCACGAGTGTGTCTACCAAGCTCAGAGCCGCTGGCGGGGCGCGGGAAAGTTTATTCTTAAACTCAAAGAGCAGGTAGCTCTGAGCACGACGACCAATTTCTAGTCCTAGAGACTCTTTAGGTTTTTTTCTTAGTTTTATTTAATATTTATGTTTATTGTAGCAATACTTTTAAAGAACATTTTTGTTTTTTTGCTTTCCTTGTGCACGTCCACAAAGGAGACCGTTTTATATGTGCAACTTTGCTCTCAGCCACCATCTTTCTAACATGCTGTTCTTTCTGGGGATGCAGCGATACATCGGGCGAACATCTATATTGGTGATAACAGCCTTGTTGTGTCAGCCAATAGGATGACCAATATAACTCAACTGATATTTATCTTCTGAGTTGCATCCTTTTTAATAGTGATGAAGAGCCAGAAGGCCAAATGGGTGTTAAAAACATCAGTATGAGTGTTGGCCCAGAGTTTGATAATCGCTGCATGCCTAGTTCCTGCTCAGTACGCTGTTGCTTGCTCACCAACGTGTTTTAGCATGCTTAATTGCCTACATGAAATAACCCGTTCCTGTGACCTTTATTTCCCAAATCTTTCATCTGTTTTGTGCTTTTGTGATTTCCTTTGTAGTGTTTTCCATCTGCTTTGTTACTAATATGCTTATGTAACTCTATGCTCTGTACATGTTAATGCTTTTAGCGTTTTATCTATTTGTCATCGTTTTGTGCTCGATTTTTCTTTGTTTTGTTTTTTTCACGCTCTGACAGCCTGGAAATAATGTGTTTAAATGTCCTGCCTTGCTAAATAAAGGTCTAATGCCTCTGTAAGCTCTATTTGTTTAAGTTTTTTCGTCTGTCTTGAGACAAAATGTGATCTGAAGAAATAGAAAAAAGTAAAGGGGATCATGTACATTGGTGTTTTCTCAGCTCGTATGAGTCTGCTCAGGCTCTATTGGCACATTTCTTATGCTGTAAATGCATCTCTTTTACACGGATTCACTTCTGTTTCCAGGTGGTGAGGGAGGACAAAAAGAAAGTCATTTCCTTTGCCAGTGAGCTCAAGAAGCTGACTAGTCGCAGCCGCAGCATGACAACTGGCAGCGGAGTGGATGGCCCTGCCCAGAGTAAGGATGATAGAGCTGCATGCTGTGTGGCTCTGACAGAGCTCCAGGAGTGAGGCTCACACTCTGCCTGCCGTGTTTGCATGGAAAAGCAACAGAGGTACCGTATGTCATCTCTAACCTCTAACATTCGAGAAGTAGAACTCGGTGTGAGTGGGAAAAATTGCCACTATTTTTGAAAAGTACAAGCAGAGTTTGGATGGGATAGATTTAAAATTGTTGATGAATTATAGGTGTCATGTAAGTACAATGCAAAAACCAAACAAAAATATGGTAGCTCTCAGGGTGATCGACCTTTCTTTTAAAGTGCCTTACACTCTTCTTATTATTATAGTTTTTTTAAAGTCTCCCAATTGAGATTTTGGATGATACTTATTTTTTTTAATGTTTTAATCTTTCAAAAGTTTTATGGAAAATGAAAGTCATGATAATAATAATGATAATGATAATAATAAAAAAACAGGCTATTTATTAACTCCAAATCTGCTCCAGGCTGCAGGATCTTCTGACTCACGTCTCCAAAGTGATCTGCAGAGTTTTTGTTCAAAAAAAGAAATAAAGTGAAAATGAATGGAAGCATATTCATTTTTTATCTAACTCCACCATTAAAACTCTAAGTGTAAGTGGTGTTTTTATCCTGTGTCGAGCTTCTTCTTCTACCTGAACCTGAACAAATTTAACGTGAAATTGAGGCTAATAAATGAATAAAAAATAAATAAAATCCCTGCAATAAATAGAAACATTACAGTGTATACACTCACTGGATGTACTTCGTCTGCTGCACCAGACACTAGACTGGCTATTGTGTTATCATTATGAGGAAGATGAATGCTGTGGTAGCTGTACCTGTCAGGTTTAGTCTCACAGAGGCATCATCAAAATGCAAACGCCGCTCATAACTGTGGCAGTCTGCATTGCAGTGATAGGTAATTACATTTCTGATAGGTTGATCACCTGTCATCGTGTGATGACGTCACTGTTTCTGACAATGACGCCCAGTGTGTATTCTTGACATTTAACAAATGTCTGGAACTTTTTTCCCCCCTTCATAAAACAATTGCAGTGCCCTTTTGAAATCTTTTGTCATTCAGATCCTGTCTTCTTCTTCTTCTTACCTACTTTTGCAGGCTTATTGCTGGATTCATTAGCAGTTTATCATCACAGCTAGGTTAGCAGATGTGTGTTAAAAGAGCAGAAATGTGTATTTCATGACCCAAATGAGAGGCTATGCATGAGAGAACTACAGAAACGTGATCAAATATTGCTCAACAGGGCAACACAGTCATTCTCCTTCATTTAGGATTGCGTTTTTAACGTCATTGCTGTTTTCTCATTGGGACTGAACCCTCTCATACTTCATTCTAAAAGTAGTAACAATACTCCCCTTGTAAGGACTTTGAAGTAAATTAATCCTAATTACAGACTATGCTACAAAGAAGGGTCATACAGTACAAGGCTAAGTGGCAATTGTCACCATCGGTCAGCTGTAGAAGACGTGTTTAATCAGCACCCTCAATTGCGACTTTCAATTGAAAACAGATTAAAAAAAGGAGCCCTGAAGAGGCAAAACCATGTGACAAATGTGCAGGTGATGCACAATAATATGCTAACTGGAACGCAGAAAAAGATTTGTATTTGTGCTTGTGGTCATTTTTGCAGTTTACTTCAAAGTCTGTTGTTTTAAAACCCCTTACAGTCTAATATTGAAAACGGCAGCCATTTTTCACATTTTTAACAGAAGATCACTTTGCAGTGTAGCAACAATTCATCATGGTTGTGTTATTAACAAGTGTTGTGTTGTGTCTTTCTTTAAACTCTTTTTTTTTTTTACTAAATATTGAAAAACAGAAACATGAAAATAGAACCTATTTCCTCTTCAGGGTACCTGTCTGCAGCTGCAGGTCTGAGGGCATGGGTGACAGAGGGCAGGGTGGGGGCTGGAAGGTTCCTACAGGCCTCCTCCAACTCTTTCAGAGAGGAGCTCCTATCTGTCCACCTTCCCACCTCTTCTCTGACCCCTTCAGCCTGGAAGCTTTACCTCCTCAGGAACTGGAAGACCCACAAATGAGTTCTAGACACAGAGAGACTTGCATTGACTACTTCTTAACTTGGAGAATTTCTCTTTTCACAAGGTGTTTTCAGTGATGGTCTCGTGCATTGTCGGGTTCTGAGATTCCCTCCTGTCAAAGTCTTGAAGGAATCCAATCCTACCCTGTGTTAAATGAGCAAGTGAAGGACAGGATTCAGTCCAGGCTCTGTTACTGGGTTAGGGGACAGGTAATGAGCCCCTTTTGCTTGGGAGGAGATTGGCGAGCCCACCCGCTGTCATCCAAGTCATCCACGAGGACTGTGATGGTCGTGGGCTGGTAGCTCAGCTCCTCTTGGGGCAGCTGTTTTTATTGAAGTCCGCTGGGACATGAAATGGCAAACTGTCCCTCATATTTCAAATAAATAAGAGAGGATAAAAAAGATTCCTGTGTCACATACAGAGAATAATTCTGGCTTTGATGGTTGCTAAATTGTCATTGGATTTATTGAAATAGTAAAACACAAACTATTTGGAGTATTTATTTTCCCTTTTCAAGGACTATTAAATCTCCACAAGTGACTACACGCCTTGTGCACTAGCATAATTGTTTGAATAAATCTTTTGTACAGTATGTTTAAAACAAAGAAGTAAAATCCACACTTGCTAGTAAATGTTAAAATGGACGAAGAGGTGTAGGAGATTGTTGCTTCCTCAGGTATGGGCTCATTTGGTTGAGGGCATTGTGAAGGAGGCTGACAAGCTGGCTTGTTTGGTTCTTTCCCTACTGTTCCAGTTTCACAGTACTGTAAGAGCACATTTTGGGGCAGTGCAGATGAGCAAAGCTCACAGAAAGACGCAGCAAATGTGAGGATAAAGAATTGGAGGCTTCTATTCTATTTAAATGTCGTAAAAATGGAAGCAGTTTATCGGACACTACCGTATTTGCCCTAAATAGTCGATATATGAGGAGCGTTTTAAGGCAGTGTAGGCACACACTATTATATTCTGCAAATGCAAATGTGGAGCAACTTCTCACTGTTTTGGTAAAGTTGTCTTGTGTCGGTTTAAAATGTTGCAACACTGCCTCCAACATTTGATGATTTTGTGATTTTGTGGCTGTATCTCTGAGGATGATCTGCTTTGTTTTACAGAGTATCTTATTGCTCACATCATTGTGCACAAATATCAACCATATCTCACCTCGTCAGCCAAACTGAGCAGCTTAAAAAGTTAAAAATGTTTATATATGAATATATATACATTACTATATATATATTTAAAATGTAATTTAAACATGGGGTATTGCTTTTTAATAGTGTGAATACAATGCGATCACCAGAACTGTTTGTTAACCTTTTTTGTGCAACAGTAAGCTTTCTGAATATTTACATTGTTAAATGCAAAACTGGTGGAGCCCAAAACATAGTTACAAATTTAGTCAGACAGTCATTACTTCAGAGATTGTTCAAATATGGACATTTCCTCTGTTGGACCTAATTGAGTATTTCCTGCAAATTCCTACATTATTTTATTGGTGCAATGATGGTTGTAGTGCTAAGATCCTTTGGAGAGCATCCCGGTCTTCTTCAAACAATGTTTTGCACTTTTCGTTTTCCTTTTGGTGTCGTCATCAATGTTTTTGTGTTACTGTCTAATTAGTGACAGCGACTTGATTGTTATGGTTAGAACTGCTTCTGTCTTGTTATGTCGTTGTATTTATTACTTTCAATTTCAGCCCAGTCACAAATTTAGTTTTAAAGAAAGCACAAGTACATTTTCGGGGAGTTTTTTGTCAGACTTATAGGTATGTATTCCGTGTTCCCCAACAGAATTGAATGTTCGTAATGCAATTGATTGGTTTTTCTTTATTTATTGGTCTGGACTTACTGTCCTTGATTTTAAGAGCAGCATCTTTATAGATATTTAATGTAAGTAATGACTAGATTTTTTTTTCTTTCTTCTGCACATCTAAATCTACATTCAAAATTCATTTGGTGCCACTTTTCTCTCTTTTAATTAGCGACATTTCAATATTTTAGGACTAATAGTAACTTTTTATTTTACTTCCTCCCATTTGGTTAATGACGTTACCAAATATACATTAAAAAATAATAACATTAAGATGTAAAACGACATGATACATCTTGATTATTACCCAAAAAGGAGCCGTGACACAAAATCAAGTCCATCATCAAGACTCAAGAACACAGACCTGCTGTATCTCCATTTAAATTTTCACTCAGAAAAATCACTTTTGAGTCTCTTTATTGAAAGCTGTTTCAATTCATTCCTGCTTACTCAGCTTTAGGCTTATTATAAATCCTACTTTTATAAAAATGGAATCATTTTTTTTTACCAATATTCCAGAATACTAAAAATTTAACAAACTAGAATTATTTGTTCAAAAAAGCTTAAAAACCTTTCAAAAAAGGCTTAATGCCAAGTAATGAGTTATAGTTTTAGTGCAATAGTGAAGATCTGTTATTCTTCATCTTTTTAATACCTACAAACGACTGACATGTTCCACTTTAACTCATACTTTCAACTTGTGACCATCAATTAATGGGTTAAATTTGACCTGATTAATATTAATCACATGCATGGATTCTGTTTTGTTTGGAGTAAGGGAGTAGGGTGGGACCTAAGGCTTATGATATTTAAGGTAGATGAGACTGTGATCCCAGAAACCACAACTCTATATCGGTGATAATTAAGCTGCAATCCTTTAATCCAGTCAGGCTTTTGTTACTCTAACTGTTTCTAATTTAAACTTTGGATAAAAAAAAAAAGCCATTACGCGAAGCAAAACCTAATCTTTCACGAAATGGTCATTACAACTACATGCCTGGATGAAAGCGATATCAGCTCTAATAAGCGTGTGAAATCCACAGTGATTCCACACAGGAAGGGACATTTTCAGTTTTAAATCTGAGTTATAACACCACCACATCTTGTTTCCTTTTTTCCTCTAACCTCTAGACCTCGTTTCTGAATGTAACTGTTCTTAACCTGAGACAAATATGTGTTTGAAGTTATTTATTTGAATGTGAAGCCCTGGTTGGCATTTGTGTTGTTTATGCGTAAGTTCCTGTAAGTAGTTATTAGTGTTTGTTTATTTATTTCAGTATGTGAGAGGGTGAACTCTACTGCCCTGACTTTACTCAAACGTATTTAGATATGTAAAGAAATATTTTACTGTAAAATATTTAGTGTATTATTCATACTTATGGCATGTTATTCTGCAGTATGCAGCAGCATTTTATTTTCCATAACTGTGGACTAAATCTGACAATTTGAGACTTTATTTTACATTTTGGTGTATTCATTATATCCACGTGTATGCTGTCAAGCTATGTTTTGATTGTTAGCACTTTCCATAAGTGGTCCACTATACACTTTAACATCCGCTCTCTGTGTTATGCCATGACTGTCAAGTGAACATTTGTCTATTTACTTGAATTTACTTTAAATGGATGGTAATCGGTGGATTTTATTTTTTGTCATATGAATCACAATAAAAATGGGAAATACTTTGATCTCTTTCTTATGTCCAGAGGAGGGCGTATCCAGGATTTCTAGAAACTGTTATGCATTTTGAGATTGATAAGACCACGTGGCAATTTTCCACTTGATTGTAGTCCATCTTCAATGACCATGGATGGACACATGTCCGGATCTTATTTATTTTCTAATTTTCTCGTTGAATGGTAGAGCTTTAGAGTTTCTAATCTGAGTTTGCAGAGGATGGTCCAAAAAACTGAAAATATCCAATGAGCAGCAGTTCTTTGAGCAAAAATGTGTTTTTGATGCCAAAGGTTAGAAAAAACGTGGCCGGACTGCTTGGAGTACCACTTGTAACTCTATGCAGAAGAGCATCTCTGAATGTTAGGGCAGCAGAAGACCACACTGGGTACTAGCTAACAACAGGAAACTGAGTACAGTTCACATAGGCTCAGTGAAAGTGAACAATAGAAGATTGAGAAAATGTTACCTGATGTACTAAGTCTTAATTTCTGCTGTGACATTCAGTTTAGAATTTGGAATAAACAACATGAAAGCATGGATCCATCCAATCTTGTATCAGTGGTTCAGCCTGCTGGTGGTGATGTAATGATGTGAGTAATATTTCCTAATATTCCCTTAGTAGGAATAACCTACCTGAGCATTGTTGCTGACCACATCCATCTTTTTATGACCCCAGTGTGCCCATCTGTCTGACTGTGTGATGCTATCGTGTCAATATGGACTAAGGTTTCCAGCACCTTGTTTAATCCATACCATGAAGAATTAAAGCAGATTTGATAGAAAACAGGGTCCAACCCAATATTGGCAAAGTGTACAAAATAAAATGGCCTGTGAGAGTTTAAAGCCAGCTTCTTTGTAACCTGTCAGAGATGTTTTGAGCATTTTATAATTAAGCAAACATGATGACTCACTTTGTTTTGGGGATGAAATGTTCTGTCTGACAATGTTCCAGCTACTAATCAAATCTCTGGTTGCTCTGTCAGAGCTTAATAAGCCACGTTCAGCCTGTCTTCTCCAGTAAAACAGTGGCCTCCGGAATCGGTGAAAATTTTAACAATCAATTTTGTTGAATCAGTGTTAGCTGCTCAGATGTGCCCTTCCTTCCAGAAACTGTTTAAAATATGACTCTGGTACACTCCACTAATTCCAGGTAATAAGGAGCACACAGTTTCAAATATCACCACCCGTACTGCACCCTCTGTTGATTTCCTTAATGCAAAATTATGTGGTCATCCAATTAAAGGTGAAAGTTTTAAACCCCGGTAATTCTGGAGCTTAATGATCCCAGTCTTTCAAGACTTCAAATAAAACTGTATGCAGTTCACAATTAAAAAGTTTCCTCCAGCCTTATTGTGAGCAACTTTGATAAAGGAGAGGGCTTCATGTGCAAAGTTAAGCAGATTTCCTATGGTAGTGTGGAATTATAATTAAAAGGAATCTCTTCTTTCAGTATCTTCTGATCAATATCGGTTTAAATGAAATTTAATTAACTATTAATGGCGCAGAAGAAGTTCTTTTTTGTTCATGAAATTAAAGCTTTGGTTTTACACTTTTGGCAATATATGCCTTCTTGCAAGAGAAGATCAATAAGAGAAAGGCATGAAGACTGGAAACTGCATCCATGAACTTTAGTAATTAGCATTTTTCTTTTAATTAATTTATAAAATATGTAAAATTGAGAAGTTTGGGACAAAGCTGTTACCTTCTTTTTTTTACTGCTGCTAAGCAGGAAGTAGGCATATCGGTCTTTTTTCATATTTATTAGACAGGTGTTTAAGTGATATTGATCTTGTTTAAGCAAGAATAAAATTAACTCTTATTTTAAGTCCTTTTTTCAAGGGGTCATTTTAAATAAAATCATTAAAAACTCTTTAAAGTATGTTAAAGTTGCCGTATAATCATCTTTCCTCACTATAACGTTGCTGTGAGTTTGCATCTACCCCTGAACCCCAAATCTCCACCACCACCTCGTTAACTGTCCCTCGGTGTGACAGCTTTAGCCAAGCTTAAAATTAACTCTAGCAGTTTCATTTGGCTTGATTCTCCTGCTTTCTTTATGTTGTGGAGATGCTGTGCTTAGCTTGTAGGTGCATCTTCAAATGGGAACTGCTGCTCTTAAGACCTAACCAACGGTTACTAATCACCACAATGTCCTTTTCACTTGCTTTCAAGTCAAAAATTAAAACAACTGCAGCAACAACTGCACTTCTTTGAAATATTTGAGTCTGGTTTCCAAATCCAAATGCTCATAGTCTGTATACAGACCCAATGCTGCCAACCAAAGCATTAGCTCTTCGGCTAATAAAATGCTAGAACGTATCGAATAAGCTGTACCACACAGTGGGATGTATTGTTTTTTAGAAGTTCCAATAAAAACATTCCAAAAAGCACCAACCCCATAACATCAGGTAACAGGTATTCACTACAAGACAAGGCGGTAATTTTCATATCTCAAATTGGGAATTTAACATATCACTCTACAGGGGGTGAAGCTAGGCTGACGTGCCTGTTGGCAAAAAGCAGAGGTTTTGACTTTACATGCACAGCTTCTACCTAATTTATTGAAAGATGCTGTTTTAGTGACTGTTCCGAATTTCGGTTATCCAAAAACCCTAAATGCTTCCAGGCCGGTTGCCCGCACAACAGCGGTGATGAAAATCCTTGTAAAATTAGTTAAGACGGAGCTTTTAAGGAAAACAGAGTATGTGCTTTAATCCCTATGCAGTTTGCTTAGAGACCAAAGAGAAGAGTAGACAACGCCACTGTGAGCTTATTGAACTTAATTGTCAAAAGTATTGTTGATTTTTATTTGGCCTTCAATACAATTAAATTCCATATTTTAATATGAAAATCTTGAGGATCTGAAACCTGTTTCATCAAGTCTGCTCCTTGAATGAGGCTCCAAGGAAACAAATATATGTCAAAGGTTTTCAAACCTGAGCACACTGGACCAACGGTGTGTTGCTGCCCGTCCTACTGGTACACTGCAGAAGGTGTATGGAACAATGAAGGAGGTGTAGTCCCTCCAAAGTCTTCACTTCACCAAAAATCAGCAGCTAGATAGTTAAATCTTGTTCCAACAGGACCATGATACCAAACACACTTAACTAATTTTGGAATGAAAAAAGCAGGCTAACATTAATCTGCTGAAATAGCCTTCCCAAAAACTCAACTCTATTGAAAATTTGTGGACTACGCTAAAAAGCCGTGTCCGTGACAGGAAACTAACCAATTTAAAAAGGAGGGTGTTGAAGTTGAACCTTGGCTCCTGTTTTTCCAGCCTTCAAGGTTGCAGCTTGGGGTTTAGCAGCATATCATCAAGTTAGCGAAACCACATTTCAATGGCTGGAATTTTATTTGGATAAAGTCTGCTAAGCAACTTTACAAGGATAAAAAGGCAAGTGTGAACAATACACGACTTCATGTGTTAATGAAACATGTCAGGCAAATTCAAGATGAGTTGCGTCAGTAGTCGTAATACTGAATGAGTCCATACAGACACCAGTCGCTTAAAGGGCCATTAAAAAGTTCACGCACCTTTGCCTCTGCTATCAAAGTAAAAATATAAGTCCTCTCAGTTTAGGTCCAGTTTTCTAAAGGTGTTGCAGCTCTGAAATCAGGTCAGTTTCAGTGGAGAAGGTACAAAAAAGTGACATTTAATAAGTAATCCAAATAACCAATTAAACGCCAATGAATTTGTTCTGTTTTTGCTTCAAATATAGTTCCATCACTTCTCTGAATGTAAATAAAATAAAGTTCTACTAGCTGATATGTGAGGAATCTTCCATCACAAACAACAGACTAGCAAATCATGTAATTAGATTTCTTCCAATTGACCTGGAGCATCCCTGTTAGTTCCACAACTAATGAACAGAAATCATGTCTCAATGTTTCAGTGATCTTGGCAATATGGAACGAGCACAGTGGCGTAGCGTTCAGTCAGAGTTTGGTCATGGGTATGTGAAGGCTGTTCCACGGCCCCATCCATAACTCCTCCTCGTCCGACTGCGTTCTGTCACTCGGGCACTCCAGCGGCTCTCTGATGACGAGTCCGTCCGTGTCGTCGTTACTGCCGTCTACCTTGGACTCTCTCTCACCTTCTTCCGACTCGTTTCTCTCCGCTGTGCTCTGGGGCTGCTCCGTGCCTTCCTGTGCCGCTTTGAGCAGGTTCGATTTCGACGCCACGCTTTCCGGGCCTGCGTTGCTGGTGGTGGTTGACCCTGAAGAAACGCTGGATTGTCGCGTGTTGAACACATTCAGCGTTTTGCTGTCAGGGTTGGAGAAAGAGGACGTGGTTGTCGTGGTGGCAACCGTTCCCGAGCTCTGGAAGGTGCGGAGTGTGTTGCACCCGCCGTCCGGCGTCGTTCTGAAGCTGTTCAGGGGAACTCTTTCTTCCAGTGTGGCAGCCATTTTGTCTAGTTTTTTAAAGTGCTTTGCCAGCCTTGAGCTGAAGATAGGAGAGGGGAGTTTGAGGTTGTTGTTCGTAGTAGTGGTTTGCGTGGGCCCTGTGGTGTTTACTGAGCGTCGGGTGCGGATGATGGAGCCATTCTGGGCCACGTAGATGCTCCCGTTAACGTTGACTTGGCTGTTGTGGGTGGAGGACAAGCGCCCACGTTGGGTTTCTGGTGCGCTTTCCTCACCCGTGGAGCTGGTCTCGTACTCTCGGTCAAACACCAACTTGACCCGACGTTTTCTGCTGCCCTGCTGAGAGAAACACATCAATAATGTGACTTTAAACTGCTGACCTTGGGAGTTTCATTGAGGCAAGAGAAATGAATCGTAAAAGTGATGATACAAAGCACAAAAAGCGAACATCTGCTGTCTGCCTCAAAGTGCTTTTTCGATAATGCCTCAAAACTCCTTCGGTGAACTGTACTGAGTAGTTACCCTGATGATGTATTGTGGTGTGCACTGGGGAACTTCACACAGTTCACACATCTACTCGAAAGTTTAAAACTGAAATTAAAGGCATTTTGGAGAATAATGCACTCCTTCTTCCTTCTCTCACTAGCAGCGAGTGCCTCTGTGGTGTCGACGTTGAACACATTTGCCTTACATGCAAAAAGTCTCTGGTTTGAGATCAGGAGGAGATACAAACCCAGCCTCAGGGGGTGTCAAAAGCTAGTGTACTTCCTCTGCCAGTCCCCAAGCCTGGATAAATAGGAAGGCTTTCTCAGGAAGAACTGTACCAAATCAAGTCTGTTTACCCATCTGCTGTAGCAAACCCTTGGGAAATAAGTACTTTTAGTTGCACCAGCAGCTTTGCAAGGATGTGTAAAAAGTTGACAGGGTGATGGCGTATCTCCATGATCTAATCTTTTTCAAAAATAAAGACTGACTATGTTTGACCCACATAAGTATTCTTGATTTATGATTTTAAGCTTCATTTCCAAGGTTTGGTTTGATTTAGGCGTACAAACTAGGATTAAAGCCTTTCACGACATTAAACAGCTTCCTTTTGCGAGCATCAGAGACTTACTGGTGATGATATTAGCATCCATTTAACAAACAGTTATTCCCACAACTAACAGAGGTGTTACTACAAGTTGTAACAACCACCTGGGTCTCATTCCCAAGGTGTCAAAGCTGCTGGTGTCTTGTAGAGAAGCACAAGGTATCCAATGGCATCCCTGCTGTGATACATTCGGTGGCAATACTGGGGCAAAACCGAGAGAGGTCCCACTCCCAACTCATTATGTACAGTATGGGCGCTTGTAAAGGACGGCCTTGTTTTAACTTGAATAGTTTACAATGTCTGAAAAATAAGCAGGAGGTAAAAGCAACAGCAAGAACTATTCGGCGAGTGAAAATCAAGCAAAACAAAAAGTGCAAAGTACAAAGCTTCCAAACAGGACATGGCCCGCTGGCTGACAGAGACACTGTGATTTATTTATGCGTTGCTTTTTAAAAGAGGACCGTTATCTCTCAGCATCCAGTGCTACCGCTGCCAGTGCATCAAGGCAGCTACACCAAAGGACACCTTGTGTGTTTCTCTGTGACAGAAGCGGTATCTGACAGAACAGCATTGTGTGATGGGCTAGGAAGACGATGTGTTACAATATCAGCACAGTGGCTTTCTGGGTTAATACAGTCTTTTAGGAAGACATCCTAAAAAATGCAGGGTAAAATCTATAACTAATAAATGATTTGACTAACTGTGAACATTGATAGCATTTATGTTTAGGTTACATTGCATTCAGAGTTCTCTCATAGTCGGAAATGGCCAAAGGACGAATTCCACAACCCTGATTCCAAAAAAGTTGTTACACTGTATAAAATGTAAATCAAAACAGAATGCAGTGATATCCAAATCTCATAAACCCATGTTTTATTCATAACAGAACACAGAAAATAAATGGAATAAAAAAAAACTGTTTAAACTGAGACATAAATTAGCTCGCTTTGAATTTGATGGGAGCAACTCAAAGAAGTTGGAACGACAGCAACAAAAGCCTGGAAATGTAAGTGATTCAAAAAAGGAACAGCTAGATGAAAATCTTGTAACTGATTAGATTAAGTGGGACTGGATGGCCACATCATTGGGACTAAAGAGAACTATCACCATCTGGTTTGATATCAGTGCTCAGTTCAAAAACCTGCATCCTTGCGTCAATGCGTTAGCGTGGTTAGCTTGTTATGGCATTAGCGCCGAGCAGCCCCATGCACGGGGCGATCTGCGTTAACTCGCCAACGGAGATTTGCCACGTTAATGCGGTTATGGCGTTAACGTGGTTTTAATGAGATTAACGCTGACAGCACTAGTAAAGACTCAAAATATCAGAAATAAACAATCACAATAACCCATGAACACACACTAGGTGACAATAGGAAGGAAAATCTGAGATGGTGTTGTTTTTTAAGGGAAGGCCTTACATATTTCAGCAAGACAATGCTTAACCACATAGTGCATCTATTACAAGAATATGGGTTTGTAAGAGTTGAGGTGCTGAACTTGCCTCCCTGCAATCCAGAGTTTTCCCCAACTGGGAAACATTTGGCACATAAAGGAAAACTATGACAAATAAGACCCTGGACTGTTGGGGAGCTAGCTTCACTTACCAGACAAGAAATGTCCAGAAACTGCTCTCCTCTGACTAAAAAAAGGGGTTAAAGTTGGGACTGTTGCTGCCATCAACTTTAAATTCTTCACACGACAGTCCAACATTTATGGAACTGGGGTTGTATTTCAGTTGATATATGTATTTATATGGAAATAAGGCTATCTACACACCAGACTGAAGACATGCCAAACCTTCTCTGGTCAGAAGACCCAACATTTCCATGTCATTTGTAAAGATTTTGATTTAATTGCTGTTAAAATAAACGTTTTTTCATTTTAAAGTGAGAAAATGAGCAACAATGAAAAAAACACTTTGACTCACTGCAAATACAAAGACATGTCAGCAGTGTGACTCAACAAACCGGCCTTTGGATCATCTAATGATGAGGTTTTTTGTGTTTTTTTAAATGAAAAAAACTGAAATGGGGAAATGATTTTGGAAATATAGCACATGTTGGTCTTGGATGTAATCTTTTAGAACACAAAACTAAATTATTTAAGTATAATATAGTAGGTCAGGGTCAACACTGCTACATGTTCACACACACATACACACCATGTAACCCTTAAAGATTTAAAGAACCTTCATTGTATAGAAGAAAGTACATGTTCTCCATAACAAAGAAAGCATCTTTTCTTCCTGCTGGTAAACGCTGCTGGAAGAGCTGACTGCTAGCAGAAGAATGAGCAAAGAAAGAGAAATGACTAATGAAAAAAAGCTTGAGTAAACCTTAAGTGCAACAAAGAGAGGTCAGTAAATAATCTCTGAGCCGTAGCAGCATAAGAGAAACAATCAGCTCGAAGTGGGAGCTTTCACAATCGGAAAACGAGACAAGTCGGCTCAGGGGGAAAAAACTGTAGATGTAAAGCAGAAAAGCACTTCACGAAGACGAGAGAAAGACTGACTGGGGAAAAAAGGGGGATTAAAGTTACGAGCCAAAGAAAGAAAGAAAAAAAGAAGAAGAGAGACAGTCAGAGAGGGCAGCAGAGGACACGCCGACACTTTAAATTACAGTGGATGTAAATCACGCCAAACAAGAAAACACAAAAAAGAGAGAGATTAAAGTTATAAATTCCACTCAGGTAATGACTTCACTCTCAATCCAAGCATTTTCACCCCAGACCTTACTGAGTGGCAAAGAATTTAATCTCGGCTCAGCTGACTCCCAAATCCTCCTCTTCTTCATCTTTGGGATCTTCGCCTTCTTCCCCATCGTGGTCGCTGCTTTTCTCCTCCTCCTCGTCCTCTTCGCTGTCCTCCATGATTGGTGACAAGTCGTCCGAGCTGTCCGTCGGGCCTGAGCTGATGTCCGACTGGGTGTGACTGGAAGCTTGCCTGCTCGTTGACGGCTTTCCCAATCCAGCACTTTTTACCTCTTCTTCTTCAGATTCCTCGCTCTCTTCTTCACTCTCTGGCTCTGTTGCTTCACGTGAAGGCCGTCTGGAAGTTTTGGGCCTGGAACTAGAAACGGTTGAACGCGAATGTCTAGAACTTTCCGAGTCCCTGCTGCTCTTTCTATCAGTCTCTTTGCTGCTCCTGTCTCGCCGTCTGCTGCTGCGTTCCCTTCTAAAGCTCCCTCTACTGCTTCTGCTTTTATGACTCCTGCTGTTGCTGCTCACAGAACTATCGCTAACGTGTCTTTTTGCCGGTTTTCTACTCATTTTTTTCCTCTCATCTTCCGTCTCAGACTCAGACCACTCTCCCAGCTCATCTTGGCTTTCCTCTTCCTTTGCGTTTCCTGAGTCGGACTCAGTTTTTTCTGTTTCTGTGTCATACTCGGCCTCGTCTGTTTCTGCCGGGACACGTAACGTGTGGCTGCTTGCGTCTGAGAAACTGAATTCCGACAGAGACTCTTTGCTGCCACTTCCTGTTTCCGAATCACTTTGAACACCGCCGCGAAATCTTTGTTCTTTTCTCCACCATCCCTCAATGGAGCTGTTCGGCTCTCCGAACTCCCACCTCCTCCCCTCCTCTCCTGTGGCTCCCTTAGACACTAAAGCAGAAACGCTCATATCTCCCATGGAGCCATCCATCTTCCCTGTGTCCCAGCTTTCGCCATTGCTCCACTGTCCACCTCCCACCCTGGCTGGTCCCTGGAGCCTTCTGGCTAGGGAGATAAGACTGAGGGCCCCGCTCAGCTTTTGTTCCATTGCTGGGGGTTTGCTTGCTTCAGTGGACATCTGGAAATAACTCCCATCTATGACCATGCTGCCATCCCGGCTGAAAGACTGGCCAGAGGACAACAGTCCAGGGAGCCGTCCCCTGTGCTCTGGCCTGATGCCTCCTCCTCCTCCAACTGCATTGTTTGAGCCGCCACCTCTGTTGTTTCTCCCCCATGTTTCTACTTCTTCTCTTCCTCCCCTCTCCCTCCTTATTTCTACTGCTTCATCTCTGCCTACCCTTTTATTTTCCCTCTTCCCTGCTCCCCCATTCTCAAACCCAATTCTCACTCCTCCCGCTTTTCCCTCCACTTTTTCTCTTCCTCGGCCTCCCTCCTCTATCGGTCCAATTCTGGCTTTGTTCCACGGAGGGTGAATGGCAGGAGGCTGTCCAGACTTTTTCCCTGCAGAGGACAGCGTCGTACTCACTCGCATCAAAGCCTGCAACCTGGTAGCCACGCTCGAGCTCTTAGGTTTAGTGTTAGCAGTTGTACTGCCTTCTTGTTTTTTGTCATCCTCAGTTCTCACGTGTCCGTGGGTCTTTCTCAGGGCTGGAATAGTTTGAGCCTGAAGGTGGGAAGGGTGTGGAGCTAATTTGTCTCCTTGAACTTTTCTCCTCACCTGGTGCAATGATGACATTAGTCCAAAAACAAGTTAGATTACACTAACATTTGACCATAAAGAGCAACCACTACATATTAACTTTACAGCATGCTTTCAATATGAATAGTCACATTCCATTATGTAGTACATTGTAACAAAAATAAAAAAGGATGTACTGCAACCTTAAAAGGATAGCTGAACATTTAGGATTAACAGACAGATCCCAAATAGCATCCACATACAGGCCTAATCTGCGTTACTTTTAGCGCTCGCAAATATGGGCCAAACACACATTGCCATCTGAGATGAGAAGAGCCTGAATTAGGGTTTCTTTTTAGGATAATGCTGTACAGTGTTTGTCTTTCTAGCTAATTCCTCCCGTTTCAATCTTTCTGCTTTCAGTCACTGTAAATCTTGAGCCACTCTTCATTTCTGATGCGCTGATTTATTGCATGTGCAAACATATGCAGGAATACTAATGATCTTAAGAGTCAATATGTGGTATGAACACATTTATTCTTCAGCCTGAACTCTCTTAGGCAAGCTTTATTATAACTTATTTCTTCAGGAATAGTTCTCCAGGCTGTGTTGAGGATATTTCAAAGCTCTTCTTTGGATGTTGGCTGCCCTTTGTTCTGTTCTCTGTCACGATGATCCCACACAGATTCTGTAATGTTAGGGTCCAGGCTCTAGGGAGGCCAGTCCATGACTTTTATTGCACTGTCTGCACTACAGAAAATTGAAGTTACTGCCGATCAGAAATCCTTCCAAATGGTATTTCAATAGTGGATCTAAATCTGACTTTTCTGACTTTCTGTTTTGACAAGATCTCCAACACCAGCGGTCCCCAGCCTTTTTTTGCTCCTTGGACCGGTTTAATGTCAGACAATATTTTCACGGACCGGCTTTTAAGGTGTGGCGGATAAATACACCCAAATAAAAAATATAACCAAGAGAAAAACTGTGGTATATTGTAAATATAATACTAAATGCAAATTCACCGCGTAATTGTGTAACTTTATTAGCAGCGTCCTCCTGAAATGCGCCACATCTCCCCCTTAATGCTCTCTGGTCGCTAACACAAATATTTCTTTCAAAATAAGACACACAACTACAACGCGGGAAAAGACCCAGGGAAACCGAGTTAACAATAAAACCCTTGAAAACCATAAATTTCACACCCGAGCCTCGACTCTCATGGCCTGGTACCAAACGACCCGTAACGGTCCCCGGCCCGGGGGTTGGGTACCAGTGCCCAACAACACTAGCTGAAATGCACCCGCAAACCATGACAGAGCCTCCACGGTGTTTTACAGATGACTGTAGACGCTCGCTGTTGTAGCTTTCTCCTCTCCTCCCTGGCTTCCTCTTCTATCATCTAATTTTAGGGTCAAATAGCCAAAACTTTAACTAAATTTTCAAATTTGGATCCATCTCTCCAAAAGTCCTGTTGCCACTAATTGTCAATCTAGTTCTTGGAAATAATTTACTTCAAGCTTTTCTCCCAATTTTCTTACATAATAATGGCTTCTTGACAGGCACCGTTCCCTTGAGACATTTTAGCTCTTTGGGAATCACACTGTTGGTGCAAAATGACTAGTTTATGCCTACAAAACTGGGTAATTTGGGCATTTTTGGCAGAGGAAACCAAAGAAAAGGGAATAAATTATGTGATTGTGCAACAGACTGATAGTAACAAAGAAGCGAAATATGCTATTTAAAACGAGCTTGTTGCTAAGTTCTGTGTGGACACTACACCAGTTCATCCCTTGAGTTAGGTGTATTATTTATGCTCGAATGATTTATAGGTCGGTGTTAACGAACTCTTACTCTGAAAATCATCAGATACAAACACTGGAATGAATATGAGTAAAAAAGCAGCCAATGTCCAAAGAAGATCTAAGTATTGCAGTACTGCACTTTAGCACACTAGTGTATAGCATTTCTCAAAGTGTTGAACTATTCCTTTAACCAATTCTCTACAGTTACACCAACTAACTGTGTAACTGTAGGTTCATTATTCTCTGTTTTTGAGAATATCGTGAAAATATTACGGATTCTGTTACCAGCCTGTATAATCTGCTCTCCAGCGTTTCCCTTTGCATTCTGTTTTCCTGCATTTACCTCTCCATCAGACTCCTGTGGGCTGTAGTAGTAGCTGCCGTCATCGTCAACAACGACTTCTCCATATTCATCATAGAGGCCAGAGGGCGAGATCAGCTTCCTGCGGCTGCCGTACTGAGGAAGGTCGTACCTGGATCAAAAAATCAGAGGGAGGGGGGGAAATACCAGGATGTTACACGTAAGCTACAATCAATAAGCACATATGCAGAGTAAGTTGAGCCTATACTGAGTTTTAAGTTATTATTTGGAGGCTTCTTTTTTATTGTTGGCTATATTAATAAGCAAACAGAATCCACTGTGCAGCTTCAGCCAATCAGAAGTAAAGATAGGAGAGAAAGCTGCTTACAGACAAAACTGATGAACTTGGCTAGTGCTTATTCACAGACACTTATAGCGATAACACATAGGGCCACACTGTGGTTCATGCAAATGATAAGCGGCGTCTAATGACTTTCCTAGGCAAAGCTGCCTTAATCACAAAAGGAGCATTTTGTTGCCAGGAGACATTTTGTTAGCAGAAAACACTGCAATCGATTTTCCCCCTTTTGTCTCTCTTTGTTGCCTGTTGCCGGGAGCGCTGCCTGACTCCATCGACCGAAAAAAACGTGTTGTGTATCACTACTTAGGCTCCGTGCCCTGCAGCAAGCAACTCAGGGAGCCAGTGGGTCAAAAAGCACATCTTTTCAAATGCCATTCTGAAAACAATATGTCCCAGTGTGATTAAAGTAACAAATGTGCTCCAAGTCCTTTGGCTTCATTTAGAGAGCTGTGCAGAAATGTTGCCCTGTGTAATCATTCTGCTTACAGTCAACCGGTGAGAAGTCGCCCTCCCATTACATTAAGTAGCAAAGTAATAAACAAATGGAAAAGGCACGTGGATGACAGATGGGTGAGGGGGAGAGAAGAAGGAGGTAGAGGTGTTTTAAGAGATAAAAGGGAAAGAAGAAAGAATGAGTGAAAAATGGAGGGGGGTCAGAGGAGAAAGGTTGGGTAATACATAGACTAACAGTATGGCCCCTGAACGCTAAGGTAGTGTATCTTAACTGTTCTCTTTCTCTCAATGATAGGATTTTAATTATTAAACTGCAGACTCAAACAGAAGTGTTCACACAAACATATTACTCAAAGGCAAGTCTCCTTCTTTCATCTGAGGAGTCTTTCCCCCTACTTTCCCCTCTGTCTTTAACTCTTGTCTTCCCTTCAATCGTTTCACCCTTTATCACTCCTCCCCCTGCCTCCTGTGGCCACTAGGGGGCAGTAGTCACATGAGTCAGAGAAATGTCTTCTGCAGCATCAAGATACCAACATCAGTCACTGCCAGCGCTTCATAGTATTTTTGTAGCTATGTGTCAGAACCTAAATGAACCAAACTGGGTCACTGGTGGATCTCCAAATGGTAAATGATGAGTCAGTGTGTGATCTCATTTGTACACAGGTAGTACTGCAGGCTGTACGTGTTCACTAACTGAAAAAAAGATAGTTGTCATCATATTTTGGACATGTTTGTTGAAATTTGTTGAGATCCATATTGATATGGAGGACTCAGTTTCTTAATAGGCAGTTAAAATGTATTTGGAACTGGGCTCTCCCTTACTAAAGGATTATGAAATCAATTTTTAATGCACAGAAGTGTTGGTTCTTCACTTAGTCCACACATCCATATAGTTGTAAGATGCTCCCGACCTTCTTACAACCACATGAAGCTAAAGCCTGCCAGACAATAGCAAGACATGGCGTAGCCAATCACCACCTTTACAATGTGAAAAAGAATGATGTTAAAGGTTTGGTCTGAGTGGTAGTTGCAGAGATGTCCGTGGATTCTCGACCTTGGGTAGTCATTGACTGCAAAGAATTTTTAAATTAATAAAAAAAAAATCCTTCAATTAAAACGATGTAATTTCAACCCAGAACTTACAAAAATGGCTGTAATTCTTAAGCAGTTAATTAAATACTTTCGATAGACCCCTTGAATTAAAGCTGAAAGTCTGCACTTTAATCACAACCTGATTGCTTGATTTAACTTTAACCGATTGCCTGTATAGTATGGAGACTTAAACCTGTTCATGTAACTGTCAGTGGGACTCTAAATGCTATAGTGTTAGAACGTAGCATGCTATAAACAAGTGTATAAAAGCTTTCCATGTACTTTACACTTGTGTTATGTTGCATATTTTATTTTTTCCAGGCTTGGTTCAAACGTGAAGCTATGTCAGAACTCTGCGAAGAGCATTAAAGAATTTAAAGGGTGATTTTTCTGCCATTGTATCTTCCCCTGACGAGGTCCATTTACTCTGACAGCATGGAAACATTATTGGGCTTGCTGCTTCTTTAGATTGGATGTAGAGATGGAAAGAAAGCAGTTCCTACAATAAAGTAAATGGATCATGATTTAAAAATACAGAACGTTTCCACTGGGTAATTCACACCTCAACCACTCTAGGTGGACAGACTAGATCACAATGTGAATATGATTTTAGGGTTGAGCTGTCACTTTGATACAACGTGCACCTAAAATAAGCTGGACATGACTTCAGCTAATCCATTTGTATTTTCTGCTCTCATTCAGCTAATCTTTCCACATTTTCTATTGTCCTCACATTTCTTTTTATGTGGGTGCCCTAACCGAGCTCCTATCAGCTCCACGGCAGTCACACTGCTCAACACCCACACCAATAACAGTTTTGGAAAAGCGAGATTTAATCCCTTATTGCTCTGTAGCATTTATGGATTGAGTATTTCACTCTTGACTAGAGGGCAACATGAATTTGG